TTCTTTATTATTGCTCTTACTGCCATCATCAGCATCCACGGGTGGGAAAGCCCGAGGCCAACAGAGGGGGCGCCCTTTCAGAGGGACATGGGGGTGAGGTGGCCCCTGGAGGACTACTTGGGGCTTTCATCTTAAAGCACCTGCAGGTTGACGCAGGCAGGAAGAGCGCCCACGCTGGACTAGGTCCAGCACAGGGTTGGACTCCTGGAGAAGATGGGGTCTCTGCCCTCAGGGAGCTTAGATGCTTGCAGAATGCGGTGCAAATGGAAATAGTAATTTTGAACAGCTCCCATAATTACTGAGCGCCCACTGTGCGCCAGGCACTGCTCCAAGCGCCCTCCCGCTTTTTTGCTTTTGACCTGCGTTCCCTCATGCAGACTCCCCTTTGGCCCTGTGAGCTGGGGACTGTCGCCGACCCTGTCCAGCAGATGGGGAAAGTCGGGCATGGAGATGCAGGGTGAGCTTCCAAGGCACATGCAGCTGGGAGCCGGCAGGGCTGGGAACCCAACCCGGCAGGGTGTCTCACTGTGTTCCACCCACTTCCATGTGGTCACTTCTGTGCAGTGGCCTGAACCAAGGGCCTTTCACAATCCGGGACCGAGGGTCTCAAGTTTGTCTCCTTTGTCCTTCTAGGCCAATCTCCCCAGCCCTCTGGGGGACCCTCACCCTGAAGACGTTCCAGGAAGCCCTCCTGAGAGGTAACAGGACCCACGGGGACTGGAAGGGGCCTGGAGGCAGAGGCAAAGTCCAGCGTGATTGCCCCGCCCTCCTTTCCGTCCGCAGCCCTGCCGAGCCCGAGCCGAGGCAAGCCCTGGTGCCTGTGCGGAAAGAGCTGGTCCCAGTCAGGAGGCCTGTCTCGGGCCAGCTCTGCCTGCCCCCGCTGCAGCCCCAGCTGTTCAGGTGCGCCCCGAAGCGGCTCCAGAAGGAGGGTGGCCGTCAGGCGTTGGGGCACTGCCCCCTGCTGAGACAGCACCAGCCACCCCCCACCCCGGGGCCCTCCCGAAGCACCGGGCTGCCTCCCACCAGGGTCGCTCGGCCCCCGCTGGCCCCGGCACCCCTCCTGGGCCTGCTGCTGCTCCTGCTGTTCTCCCTCCTGCTCCTGGGCCGGTCCCCGCCCCCCACCTGGCCCCACCTCCAGCTCTGCTACCTCCAGCCGCCGCCTGTGTGAGCCGCTCAGAGCAAGTCTAGTCAGAGAATTCCCCGGGAATCCTACTGTTATTACCCCTGTTGTGCCCCCTCGAGCTGGGAGGACCCCAGTACGGGGCCCCCAGATACAGTGCTCCAGGATCCACACCCCTGTACTGGGTTTTTCTGTGAAGCCTTTCGGTTCTTTTTTTAACACTGGTGACTACATTTCTCAGCAATAGCAAAACGTTCCCAATAATGGATTAAATACTAAGGGTTTATTTTCCTCCTAAAACAAGTTTGGAGGAGGACAGCTGTGGGCCCACAGCTCAGAGTCTCCACAGCCTGGGGGTAGAGGGAGCTATGATTCTCTATGAGATCCTCTCAGCCCTTCCCTCTGGCTCAGGAGATGACAGGCGTAGCTTCATACGTCACGTCTGTAGGAAGAAGGGGACGCATCCCTTCCTTTCTTTATAAAGAAAAGCCGTGGCCTTCCCACAGCCCGCAGCAGACCTGTGTTTATGTCTCATTGGCCAGAAGTGTTTGTTGCACCACTCCTAGCTGCAAGAGAGGCCGGGAGACTGAGCGCCTCTCCCCTCTCCTGGCAGAAAGAGGGAGAGAGACACGTGGGCCGGGCACACATCACAGATGTCCCCTGCAGTGCAAACAGCCCAAAGGAAATGGACCACTGTGCCATTTGCTCACTCATCGCTTACTGCTCATCCTCGTGTCACAATTAGACTTTAGAAGATAAAGCTATGGGGCGCCTGGGTGGCTCAGTCTGTTAAGTGTCTGCCTTTGGCTCAGGTCATGATCTCGAGGTCTCCCCACTCAGCATGGAGTCTGCTTGTCCCTCTGCCCCTCTCCCACTCACGCTTGTGTGCTCTCTCACTCTCAAATAAATAAAATCTTTCAAAAATTCATTAAATTATTTTTTTTTCTTTTTTTAAAGATTTTATTTATTCATTTGAGAGAGAGATTGAGAGAGAGAGCACATGAGGGGGGGAGGGTCAGAGGGAGAAGCAGACCCCCTGCCGAGCAGGGAGCCCGATGCGGGACTCGATCCCAGCACTCTAGGATCATGACCTGAGCCGAAGGCAGTCGCCCAAACAACTGAGCCACCCAGGCGCCCCATTAAATTATTTTTTAAAGAAAGGAAGATAAAGCTGTAGAAAAACAGGCCCTCCAATGCCAGGCTGAAGAGTACTGCTTTTCTCCTGAGGATGATGGGAGCTTTCAGACATCTTACTGCTTGTTTTTTTTGGTTATTTATGTTTTAATTGAGATACAACTTACATACAGATAAATGGACAAATCTTAAGTATCAGGTGCATGAGTTTTTGCATATGCAAACACCCACAAAACCAAAACCCAGGTCAAGATATGAACAGTTTCAGCACCACAGAGGCTTCATTGGGAGAGTTTTGAGCAGGGGAGGGTCAGAGTCACCCCTACTTAAAGGCAAATAGTGATAGAGGTAGGTAGCTGTAGGTTCCATGAGAGCCCAGAAAATGCACTTAACCCCTCTTGGAAGGATAGAGATTTTGTCCCAGTTAGGTGACATCTGTGTGCAGTCTTGAAAGATGAGTAAAGTTTGTTACAGTGGGCAGGGACCAAAGGAGGGTGTCATGGGCAAAGGGAATAAATAGTGTGTGTGAAGACCAGGTGGTGGGAAAGAGCCTCTGTGTGCAGAGGTAGAAAGCACCATGTTGCTGGGATTAAAAAGAAAAAAAAGGGGGTGTGGGGGCCAAGGAAGTATTTGAGGTGACAGAGTTGTGAGAAAAGAGGTAGGCAAGAGCCCATGAAGGGTTTGGAACACCAGCTTGAACTTGATTCTCAGGTGCCCAAGAAAAGGGCTATGAGCAGGGAAAGGACAGAATTAGCTCCAGGTGGGGAAGAGAGCTTCTGAGCCTGCATGGGGGATGAATACGAAGTGAGGCTGGAGGCAGGACGTGGGGAGAAGGCTGGGGCCGTGGTCCAGGTGGGAGAAGATGAGGCCTGAGCTGAGATGGGCATGTGGATGGAAAGAAGGGGAAGGGCAGAGAGAGGCAGGGCAGGAAGGACGGAGCCAGAGATTGATGGCTGTGAAGGAGGTTGAAGAAGAAAGGGGCAAGGACAGCACATGGGTGTGACCCAGTGACTGGTAGACAGTGGAGCATTTCCAAAATGGGAACCCATGAGAAGGAGTGGGCTTGGGGCAACACCGAGCTCATGTGGGATGGGGGGAGTGTCAGCGTTCCAGTAAGTGGCCAGAACCCTGAGCCTTGAGCCCACAGTCTGGAGATGGGGTTCTGCGTGTTATTACCTGTGATTGACATTTTGGGAATTGCTGAAATTTCCCGGGGAGAGCCGAGGAGAGTGGGGAGGGAAGGGCTTCCAGGCACCATTTTATGAAAAGCCTCAAACGCTAGGGAAGACATCTAGGGAGGAAGTATGGGAGGAGTTCGGGCCAAGACCGAGCTACCAGGCTCTCCAGCCAAAAGCCAGTGAGGCTCCTCACGGGGTTGTTGTGAGGTTCAAAGAGCCAATAGGAGTGTAGTATTTAGAGGAGGGCCTAGCATATTGTAACTGCTCATAACTCTTTAATCCCATTTCTCCATGAGAGTAATGGCAAGGTCTAGATTGGAAGTCACACAGATCTGCGTTCCAGTTACCCTTTTGTCCTTTACTGGCGCTGACACCTTGGGGAAATTACTCTTGACTTTCAGAGTCTTATTTATGAAATCTGGCCGACTCCAGATGGTGTTGAGGAATATAGTTATTCCTTCCTTATTCAGTATTTCTGAGTAACAGAGAAGCAGGTCCACCCCCTTCAGCCTAAGGGCCAATTAGGGCGCGGTCCGCCTCCCAGAAATACAACTGATGCGACAGTTTGCCAGTCACCCAGCGCCAGCCCCGCCCCCTTCCCGCGAGCCCACGCGCACAACCCCGCCCTCTTCTCTAGACCAATCAGCGCGCGATCCGCACGAGCAGCGCTCGGGGCGCGCTCCTTAGAACCCTCTGCTTACCCCTCGGAGTGGGTTGCCATGGTCACCATTGAGCGTTGGGACTGAAGGGCTGGCGGGAGCCGCCAGTGAGAGAGAGAGACAGAGATAGAAACAGAGACCGATTCTGATTGGCTGCTTCTTCGCTTCACCTGCGCCCCAGCCCTGTGCCTCCGGGGGCCTGACGCCTGGTCCCCTCCGTCCTCTCCTCCCGCCCCAACGGTCTCCCGGGAAGGGCGCAGTCAGAAAACCCTGAACAAACTTCTGGAGGCTGCTACTAGAGAGGCAGAAACCCTTTTCTAACAAAAGCGTTTTGCTTCGCGGGCGCTGTGATGAAGTTGTCTCATGGTGTATCTCGGTTAAGCCTCAGAGATTAAGCAGCCCTTCCCAATACCACACAGCTAGGTTTGGGGGAACCTGGTCTTGAATGGTAGGCACATCTCACCCCAGAGGCAACCCCCCCCCAATCTGTCCACTGCGCCCAGAGAGAAGTCAGGAAGTGAGAAGAGAGCGGAAACGGCGAAATTCGGAGAACATGAAGAGGGAGAGAGGGAAACAAGAGAAGAAAGAAAAGATATGAGGGAATCTAGCAGAGAAAAAAGAAAGCGATTAGGAATGGAAGGAAGAGTTTTAGAGGCAGAAAGAAGAGTAGGGAGAGGAGCCAGGAGGGTGAAAAGAGACAGAAGTACAGAGACTCAGAGAGATGGCGAACAGACACCCAGAGAGGGACAGACCTAGAGAAGGGGACAGAGACTCAGGGAAACAGAGACCTGATAGGTTGCAGGAAACCAGAGAAGGGGACAGAAACCCAGAGAGGAGACAGAGACCCGCAGGTGGGGTGGGAGCAGAGACGCAGGTGGAGAGGCACAGAGGCCCAGAGCGAGAGGAGGGGACAGAGCTGGGGCCTGGAGGGAGGGCAGAGCAGAAACGCAGACAGAGAATAGGAGTGGAGGGAGGGAAAGATGATTGGGGGGGGGGGGCGAGAAAAGAGAGAGGGGACTGAGGGGACGAGATACGCCGGAGTAGCGACGCAAGTCCCGCCCGCGTATCCCGCACACACACCCTGGGCGCAGGAAGGAGGCGCAGACCCGAGCGCTCTGCAGGATCTTTATTTAAGCGGGGCGGGCGCGGCGCTCAGGGCGCGTCCAGCACCAGCAGCTTGTGCATGTACGAGTTCAGCCAGTGGCGGCGCTCGAGGGCGGCCAGCAGCCGCGCGCGCTCCCGGAAGGCCGCGTCGTCCGCCAGCGCCAGGCTCCGCCGCGCCGGCCGGGTGGCCGGTCCCGCCCAGGCCCGGCCGGGGGAGCGGAGGCTGCGAGGAGACCAAGGCAGGCGGTTACCGCAGGTCCCGGACCCCCGCCCGCCGGCCAATTCGAAGCCCCGTCCTTGCACAGTCTGCGGAGTGGCTCGGTGTCTGTCCTCTGTCCCCCTGTCTCCCTCTGTACGGGTCTCTGTCTGCTCACCGGGCTCGAAGCTCCCTGAGTACGGAGACCGAGTCCGATGCCTGCCCCCCACCCCCGCCCCTCCCCAGGGCTCAGCGCCCGGCCCGACACACACTAAAAACCCAGTAAACTTTGCTCAAGGAACGAATCCGCTCTGCTTCGGCTCCTTCCAAATCTCGCCACGCCTTTCTCAGAATCTTCTTGTATCTCTTCCTCGTGCTGATTCCCTGTCCACACTCCAACTCGCTCCACCGCCGGTCCCCGTCCTCCTCTCTCCCGAATGTCTGTGCCCCGTTCTCCTTGGGTCTAGTCCCTCCTCTCCGAATCCCCGGCCCTCCCTGGGTGTCCTGGGCGCCGCTCCTACCTGAGGACCCCGGCGGGGGGCAGGGCGACTCCCGAGGCAGTGCGGTCGCCCCAGGGCACGAGGAGCAGCGGCGACAGCAGCAGCAGCAGCCGCCGCACCCGGGGGCTCCTGGGCACCTGGCGGGTCTCCATCACCTGTGGAGAGACAGGGACGAGAGAGCTCAGTGAGGCCCACGTCCTGGCCCAGAACCCCGGACCCCGCCACCCACCCACCTCCTGGGCGCCTTTGCAGGGCCCGCTACCGCGCAGTGGGCTCGGACAGCCGGGCTGCAGCCCCCTTATATCGCCTCCCCAGCCCCCGCAGCGGGCAGTGACGCAGACCAGGGGGCTGGGGGCACCGGGTCGGCCCCCCCTCCCCTCAGGCTCATTAGGAGCCGCCAGCGGTAATGAGGAGCCAGGAGTGGGGGCCCTGCCTTTGCCTTGGCCGCCACCAACTAATTGGGACCAGGAGCTGGGACCTGAGGGGAAGCAGGAGGGGGAGAGACAGACAGACAGAGAAGTGGACACAGGAGGTGTGTCAGAGGGATAAAAATAGAGGCCGGCAGAGGGACCATCAGAGCAGAAGCGAGTGACACAGAGAAAGAGACAGGGAAAGCAACAGAGGAGGGACTGGTGGGGAGAAGCAGAGATGCGTAGATGAAGGAACCCTGAGAGGGAAGGAAAAGACAGAGTGACAGGGGAAAGGGCCGACGGGGAGAGAGGAAGCAACAGAGGAAGAAGGAAAGGAGAGGAAGGAAGAGAGAGGGGGGAAGAAGACAAAGAGCCAGCTGGAGATGGAGGGAGGAGGCTCTGAGAAAGACATGAGATAGAAGAACAGCCAGCCAGCACAGGGATGGCCAGAGATAAATCCAGGCAGCAGAGAACCAAAAAAGACAGAACGAGAGATGGGCGGGGGGAGGCGGGTAGGCAGCAGAAGGCAAAGGGTATGGGGGAGGGGGTTGAAGGCAGGTAAAGTGACAGGCAAAACTCTGCAAAGAGGGGAAAGACAGACCAGGGCCCCCGCCCCACCCTGCGCATGGGTCTAAGCCTTCCCAGGGAGGAGTTGGGGGGTTTTGTGAAGCCCTGTCCCCTCACACTGGCTCTTAAGAGGGTGCTCTCTACACAGTAGGGGGAGGTAGGCCAAGGTTCCAAAGTCCCAAAGGGCAGTAGCAATCTGGGTATCTGATTGGCAAGACATGGGACCCTGGGCTCCTAGTTCCCCAGAGAGGAGAGGCTTGGGAACCTGGATTCCCTTCTGGGTCTTGAAGTAAAAGGGCACCAGGGATCTAGACTCTTGGGTTTGCATGTAGGAGATGGCAGATGGCCTAGAATCCTGGTTTCTTTCTTTCTTTCTTTCTTTTTTAAAGATTTTATTTATTTGTTTGGCAGAGAGAGAGCATGCAGGCACAAGCAAGACTCAGAGCTCGATCCCAGGACCCCGGGATCATGACCTGAGCCAAAGACAGACACTTAACCGACTGAGCCACCCAGACACCCCTAGACCCCTGGTTTCAAAGAAAACATAGCTTGGTTGGGCCACATCCCTCCACCAGATAGATGATCCAATCCCTAACTCCCTTCCCTATTCCAGAGATGATGTTCTTTATCTCTGTCCCTTTAAGAGCACAAGCCTGTAGCCAGGCTCCCAGGATCCCCAGGGAGGGGGTCAGGTGCGTCACCTGCGCCCCTGGGACCCTACCTCCTGCTGCCCTTCCCAGAGCCATTCTGCAGCATTCACCGATCTCTGCGTCCAGCACTGCTCACCTGCTGTCATCTTGGACCTCACTGAGCAGGTAAGAGACCCCAGGCCCCAAGTGACCTTGTCCTACCCAGGTATCTGCCACCCCCACCTCCACCTGAGCACAGACCTAGATGTCTCTGCCCCAGACCAGTCCTGAGAGCCTGGGATCTCAGCTCCATCCTCAATAAACAGAGGGACCAGAGTCTTGCCCCACAGCTCTCCAGGCAGGCTGAGGAATCCAGAACCCTACACCCTTATCTGCTGAGGGCCCAAGGCTTGGAGTTCCCAGTCCCCTAGAGTTCAAGACTCCTGTCTCCTTTCTCCCCTGTAACCCAGCCCCCCTAAACTTTCTCCCTCAAAATTCTAGGCATCTGAACCTTCGGGCCTTTCCTCTCTAAGGAACCAGGAATTTAGACCCACGGTGCCCTCCACCCTCTGGAAACTGGGGTAAACCCCCAGCAGCCTTCTCACCCAGGTCCCAGGAGTCTCCCTGCTCCCTCAGATCCAGGCATGTCGGGGGCCCCCAGCCCCCAGCCATTCCTTCTGAGCCTCCTCTAGTGTAAACAACTGTGCAGTGAAGGTGTCCCTGGGGCCCTCGGGAGGTGGGGGGAGGAAGGGATCCTGTGTCCCCTTGGAGGTCTACACCCTCTGAAATAGAAGTCGAGGAGGTCTGAGGGCTTGGAGAGGTCTGAGGTCTTTCCCAGTTTTTCTGGGACCCCCTCGGGGAAACAGATAAGGAAATTAACTACGACTCCCAAGAAGCCCCGCGCCTCAGTCTCCCTTAGCTATGGCGGCTACGGCCCCACAGCCTTCACGGAGTTGCAGCTGGGTTCCCCTCCTTTCCTGGGCGCCAAGCTGGGCGGGATCTCGGCCCACCTGGGGTGGTGGGCGTGGCCTCCGGGAGTGGGCCGGGGTTCCCGGGAGGCTTCCAACCTTAACCCCTTCCTTCCCGCTCCCCCGCAGCTATAGGCGTCTCCCAGAGCTATGAAATCCCTCAGCCCGATCCTCTTCCTCGTCTTCCTCCTCGCCCGGCTGGGTTCCAAGGCTGACCCTTCGGCCTCGCCGCCTACAGGCTCCGACTTCCCTGAGATGGGCCACCCTTCTCAGACCTCCCCTCCTGCTTCTGAGAATTCCACTGGAGACCTGCCTAACCCAGACTCCCCTGCGACTGCTTATCCCGAGCCCTCCAAATCACCTCATGCGGTTTCCCCTGAGCCCTCCCGCCTTGACTTCACTGAGACTACCAACCATGACCTCCGAGAAACCACACACCCAGAGTCTCCTGAGAGCCCTAAATCTACCTCACTCAACACCTCAATAGCAGACTCCCTGAAGACACCAAAAATTAACCTCTCCAAAATGACAGATCCAGAACCTTCTGAGACCCCCAAACCTGACCCGACTGATATCCCACACCCAGAATCCCCTGAGACCCTCAAACTTAATCCCTCCAAAGCCTCACACCCAGAATTTCCTGAGACCCCAAGCCCTGACCCTACCCAAACTCCACACCAAGAATCCTCAGAAAGTCCCAAACTTAACTCCACCGAAATCTCACATGCAGAAGTCCCTGAGACCCCACATCTTGACCCCACCAAGACTCTTCACCCCAAATCTCCAGAAACCTATAGCCCTGACATCACCGAAACCCCAAACTCTGAATTCCTTCAGACCCTCCATCCGGACTCTCCTGAAACCCCCCACGGGCATTCCCATGTAACTCACAATCCCTGCCCCACTGAAATTGCCCAAACAGAATCCCCCACAACCCAGTACCAAAATGCAACAGAGAACCCCATGACCTCTGACCCTGAGATCTCCACCAGTCCTCACCCAGAAACGACTACAACTTTCAAGGACAAACCTACTGCCCTAAATGAGCTGCCCCTGAGTCCCAAACCAGAAACCCCTGCAGTGACCCAGCCTGACTCCCTTAAATTGCCCATGTCAGTTTCTCCTGGGACAGTTGAACTGAAGGCCTCCCAGAACTCTAGCCTTAAAGGACCTGATGCCCTTCTTCCCTCAGCCCGGATTGCGGGCCCCCCTGCTCCTCTCGGTTCCCCCAGTCAGCCAGCCCCTGCCACTCCGCGGGCCCCGCAGCGGCGCAGCCGAGGTGAGAGAGTCAGCACTATCCTCGTGGTGGAACGAGTGGAGGAGACCGGTGAGGGGCCAAGACCGGACTCCTGGGTCTGAGGGAGGAGGGGGCCAGGGGCCAGGACTCCTGGGTCTCGGGGAGGGCAGACTGAGGACCCGGCTCTTGAGTCTGAGGCGGGAGGAGGCTGAGGGCTGGTATGTGGGGTCTGAGAGTGGAAGGGGGTGGGGGCCGGGACTCCTGGGTCTCTGGAAGTGGGGGCTGGGAGTTTAGATTGCTCAATGCCTGGGCCCTCGTCCTTCAGGCGTGACCCTGGTGGGGCGCCCCCGGGGCGTGGCGGGCGGGGCCCTCTGCCTCTTCCTCGCGGGCACCGGACTGCTGATCGGCATTTTCCTGCTGCTGTGGTGTCTCTACCGCCGGGCGGCTCGACACCGGCCCTTCGCACACCACCGGCTTCCAAACGACGGAGATGAACCTGGTGAGCGACCCTCATTGCGTCCCTCTCCTTGAATGCACGTTTCCTTAACCCGGTTTCGCCTGGCACTTTAGGGCGCCCTGCCAAAAAGTACAGGTCCCCCACCCAAGGTCGATAGAAGCCCCGACCCCTCCATGATCCTGCCCCCCAATTCTCCGAAATTCCCCCGCGACACACGTCCAGCGCCGCCCCCAGCCCAGCTGGGAATTGCAACAGGCTGGGGGCGGCAGGTCCCCACAAGCCCCGCCCCTTCCCCCTCCCCGTGGAGCCCTGAATTCCCCGCCCCCTCCACTGCAGGCCCCGCCCTGCTGCGCCGACGCCACGCCCCCTCTTCGATTCTGGGGGCCTCGCCCTTTAATTTGAAAACCCAGTTCCAAAGAACAGTCGAATCCTCTTTCCCGCCTTCTCCTTGGCCAGCGGCGCAGCAGAGGGGACAGGCCCTGTCTGCCTAGTGATGCCCTCGCCCCTTTGCTCCCACAGTTATGCATTTGGAAGCCCCGAAGGACCCCTACGACCTCTACTTTTGTGCCCCGGACGCCTGGGTCCCTTCACACATCGCCACCAAACAGCCGCCGCCCACCCCCCCGCTGCCGCCCAAGCTACCCCCGCCTCCCTGCGGGAACCGCCCGCAGAGCCTGGAGTCGCTCTCCCCCGCCACGCTCCCCAGCAACCTCGTGTGAGCCCCACTCGCGTCCTGCCAGACCCGCGCCATCCCCAGACCGAGGGAGGACCCAGAGGTCCTGTCCTCCTGGCGTGCTTTACTGCATAGTGGTCCTCTTGGGTAGGAGGTCCAACATACCAAGATGCTTTCGCTGTGACCGGAAAACACGGTCTGAGGCCGAATAAATCAAGTGTTCCCAGGGCTAGACCCCTACTCCGGCCTGCTTCCTGTGAGAGGAGGGGGCTGGGGCCCTGGAATTCTGGGTCTGAGGGAGGAGGCAGCTGGGGGCCCAGGCTCCTGTGACCCCGCCATGGCCAATGACGACTGAGTGTGTACACCAAAGCATTTTATTGGGAGTGAGGCAGGGCAGGATTTACAGTCACAGAGACAGAGACACAAAGACTACCCTGCTCCGGGGAAAACACCCCTCTCCCCCAGCCCCATTCCCTTTCCTGGGATTCTGTGACTCCTCCCGCATACGGTCCCCAAATTCTAAGCCGAAAGAGGGGAGTCTGAGAGGGGAAGGATCCCAGATTTTGAGTCGTTTAGCCCCTGAGGGACACAACAAATGGCCACTGAGAAAACAAGAGTAGTTCGAGACCACCCAGGAGAATAAAGTGCAAGGAATTAGGGGGAAGAGGGGCATCTTGAAACCGCCATGGGGAAGTTCAATGATGGTGGCTTCACATCATTGAGTTGATGGACTTGAGCAGCCACTGGTTAGACCTGAAAATGGGTCAGAGAAAGTGCATGGGGGTGGAAGGAGGCGTAATGTTAAAACCACCATCTTGCTTCCCTAGACATTGTGCTAAGCCAGGGAGAAGGTCTTGGGGAATTTGGTGCTTCAGCAGAACCTGCTGGTGGAAGGAGGGGTGCGGGGCGGAGGGGGGGACTTGAAACCGCCATTCTCCCTCAGAAACGCTGGTGAGAATCGATCCCTAGAATGGCGGGGATGGGCGATTGGTTAATCCAACCTGGAGAATGCAAAATGGAATCGGCAGAGGTCTGTAACTTCTAGAGGAAGACCTTGAATGTTTCTGAAAGGCGAGGAAAGCGGAGTAGTCCCGGGGGCTTCGCCCGAGAGTCCCGGGGGTTAAAGGGCAGAGGAAGGGTGCCTCAAAACCACAAGAGAGAGTAAAAGATTGAACTGTCCATTCAAATAAAGCCCTGAAAGGAGAGACTTGAAACCACTGAGGCAGAACAAGTGGAGAAGGAAAACCTTGAGGGGAATTTGGGTATCCTTGAAACTGCCAATCTGCAGCTTCACTACCCTGAGAGGGAAGAGGACTTGACAGCACTGGGGAAGAAGAGGGCGAGTGCTTCTTAGGCCTGCAGCAGGACAGAGAGAACTGGGGTTCCTCGACAGTCACTCAGGCCAGTGATGTGTAGAATGGAGGTCCTGGAAACTGCCATTCAGTGGGAGGCACTCGGTCAGTAGTCCCGGACAGGGGGTGGGGGTCTTGGGGGCTGAACTGTGCTGTGTGTGGCCCCATAGGAAGGAGGCGGGGCGGGGGGAGCCCCGGGGGGCTCAGCCTCATCCTCCATTTCGCTTTCGTCACTGCCAGCCAGCTGGTCATGGCCAACGAAGCCACACTTCTCTTCGCTCATCTCCTCAGGCTCCGCCCACGGCTGCTTCTCCCCGGAAGCGAAGACCCCATAGAAGATGACACCCCCATAGTGCACCAGGGAGGCAATTAGGAATACGTACTGCCACTCCTCCCGAGTCTGTGGGGGGACAAGGGGAAGGGGAGGTCAGAGGACAGAGACACAGAAGGTGGAGAGAGAATCTGAGTGCAGAGAAAGGGAGACAGATCCAGCGGGAAGCGAAGCGTTAGGAGACCAGAAGAGGGCAGGGATGGAGCCCAGCGAGGGCGAAGCCCGTCAGGAAGGCCCCATACACAAATTGGGCGGGCGAGTGGGTCAGGGCCGGGGCACGGACCTTGTGCTTAGTCATGGCACCCACGATGATGGGGCACACCATGCCTGACAACGTGCCCACGCCGTTGGAGATGCCCATGAGGATGCTGGCGTAGCGCGGGGCGATGTCCAGGTGGTTCACGTTGAACCCTGGCGAGGCAAGCCAGAAGGCATCACTCCGCACTGACCCTCACTGGAGGGACTCCTGCGGAGCCGCTCGTCCTCCCATCGCAACCTCCCCCGTCCCTCCCGCTCTTTCCAGGCCACCTTTTGCGAGCCTGGGAGGTCCCCTTCCTGAGCCAGCAAGTTCCCTACAGAGCTGTCCCGAGTCCGCCAAGCTGCAGACCCGCGCCGTTCTCACCAGAGATGGCGAAGCCGCTGAAGCCCACCGCGAGGACCAGGAAGGAGATGGCCACGCCCTTGGAGTGCGAGTAGCCGACCACCAGCAGCAGCGTGGCTTCCATGCCGAAGCCTACGGGGGCCGGAGGGCCGTCTCATCTGAGCGCCCGCCTCCCTCCGCCGCAGCCCAGCCACCTCCATGCCTGTCCCTGGCTTTGTGCCGGTTCAGCCTGCCTTGTCCCGCATTCCGCCCGCGCCCGCCCTAACCAAAACCCTCACCTCCCTAACGTCCGTGACCACGCGCACCAGAGCCACCACGGCCCCGGCTGGACCCTCCATGGCCCCACTCCCTGACTAGGCCGCGCGCCCTGAAGACGCAGGGTCCGAGCCCCACCGGTGCACCCCCCACCTTCCCTCGGTTCTCACTCATTAGGCAGCAGGCCACCCAGACCTGGTCTCTCCAGGTGCCCCACTCATAGCCCCTCTTGATCGCCTAGTTCCCGTCCAGCTCCACCCAGTCCCGTGTAGGCCGCGCCCCGCCAGACCCAATTTGGTCTCGCTGGTGCTCCACCGGGATAGTCACACCCGCCTTGCCCTTCCACCGGGTGGGCCTCGAGAGAGCAGCCGGAGATTCTGTTCCATCTACGCCCGGCCTCACCCCGGCTCCGCCTTTCTGGACACGCCCCTGACCCCGCCTCCATCCTCCCGGGGTCCCGCCCCGCCCGGGGCTGTCCCAGACTCCGCGCAGGGCCCCGGCCCACTCACCTCCACAGTTCATCAGCTTGCGCACATTAGTTGTGGACATGATTCGGCGGCTCCTCAGGAAGTCCGCGATCTGGCCGCCGATGGGCACGATGATGGTCATGACCAAATGAGGCAGCGCTGACACCAGGCCCACCTGCACCGGCGAGCGTACAGAGCGAGGGCTCAGGGACGGCTGACCCGGCATCTCCACCCGCTTCATGTACCTTTGGCTCCTCCCTGTCCCTCGTTCCGACCTCTTGGGATCCAGGCCCGGCTGCTCCATCTCCCCCCGCTGCGCCCCCTGCCTTTCCTTCCTGGGCCCAACCTTGCTGATCTCGAAACCGAACACCTCTTCGAAGTAGGCGGGCTGGGAGATAAGGAGCAGGTAGAACGTCCAACTGCGGCAGAAGTTAGCCACGATGATGGCATAGACTGGCATGGATGTGAAGAAGCGCCGCCAGGGTGTGTTAAACTTCTGCTGGGGGGGAGGGTGTGGAGAGGAGAGGCCGCTAAGAGAGAGACCGGGGCTGGGCGCTCTCCGTGTCCCTTCAGGGACCCAATTATAGTCCCACAGAGACCCAGGATTCCCGACCTCACTAAAATCTCCAGGGGCGCCAACTTGACCATGTCCCTGTGGGGACCTTGGCAGCCTAGCCTCACAGTGACACTTCAGGGATGCAGGTGTCCCGCCTCTACAGTGCCCCTCAGGTGCACAGGTGTCCGGATCCCACGATGACCCTCAGGAACTCATAAAAGTGAGGCCAGGAGTCTATTTCCGTTCCATTATGCCCCCTAATTCTAGCCTCACTCACCCCAAGGTCTAAGAAAACCCCCACATTCAAATCCCGCTTCTGCGGGCTTAACCACGCCCCATAGTGGTTCTGTCCACCTCACCACCCAGCCCTGCCTTCAGCACCTGCGGATCCTTTCTTCCCAGCGCTTTAGCTCCGCCTCCTAGGTTCTAGCCCCGCCCACCGCGCCTCCCCATCCTGTCTCTTCTGAAAGTCTACAGGAACCCACCGCGATCTACACCCTGTGGAAGTTCGAAGCCCCCTTTTCTCCTGCCTCCCTGCCTGAATATCTCTCCTTGCCCCACCACGCCTCCGCCCCCGCAGGCTTGGGCCCTGACCGTGACCGGGTTCATGAGTTTGGCGCTCTCGCCGATGGCGTCCTCTATGTACTTGCGCTCCTCTTCCGAAATGCTGGGGTGCAGAGCTGGGGACTCATAGGAGACGAGCAGCCAGAACAGGTACCAAAAGATCCCGAAGCTGCCTGGGGAGGGTCAGGAGGGGGATGGAAGCGAGGTGACGACCGGCCTCGCTCCGCCCCAGCGCCACCCGGACCCAGGCGTCCGGGCCCCTCACCGTAGACGTAGAACACAGAGCTCCAACCGGAGTACTGCACCAGGACCCCGGCGAGAGGCATCGCGACCACCGCCCCAGCATAGGAACCTAAGGGGGAGGACGCAAGATGTAGACCGGGCTCATCTATCCTCAGATTCGGGAATGGGGCCTCCCAGCCCCTGCCTTTCGGGGACACAGAAGTACAGGCCACAGTCCCTCCTCCCTCAGACCCGCATGTCTGAATCCTAGCCCCTTCCTCTCACCGCAAAAAGCTGTTGTTGCCAAGCGACTCCGCTCTAACGGTGGGGCCCATTTGCTCCAGATGCCGTGGCAGGCAGGGTACGTGACCCCCTAGGAAGGAGAAAACCAAAGTCAACGAGAAGAGGCGGAGTGAGAACAGGCACAGGGTCATATGGAGCAGGGCTTTACCTCTACCAACCCCTGCAGGATCCTCACGAAGATGACACAGCCATAATGGACTCGGGCAGCCGAGGGGATCAGCATGTTTAGAGTGGATGTAGCCACAATGGCAAAGCCGAAAACCCTGGTAGGAAGAGTCCATAGTACGAGAATAGGGTCTAGCTATCCCGCCAAAGCTGGGATTCTGCTCTGTCTGCCCACGGCGGGCCAGGCCTTGTGGTCCTCCAGAACCCCCCCACCTCTGTAACTCCCACCTTCCACAACCACAAGCCCCGCCTTTCTCTAAGACCCCGCCCCCTAACCACGCTCCTCCCACTCCTCGCGTCAGCCCTGAAATGCCAGGCCACACCCTCTACGTAGTTCCCGCCCACCTTGAGACCCCAGCCCTGTACCTGTTGGCTGCGAATTTTTGGCAGATAAATCCTCCGGGAATCTGGGTGACAATGTAGCCCCAGAAAAAGGAGCCGTGTATGAGGCCAACAGTCTCTGGATCCCAGTTAAATTGAGCTTTCTGCGGGCCAAAACGTACGTCAAACCAGCGGCCCTGACCCCAGGCTCTGCCCCTCCACCAATCAGCACAGACAGATTTAGTCCCTCAGCCAATCAGCAACAAGGACCCCTCTCGCGCCCAAACACCTGCCAATCAGAGCCCACGCCGTCCTCCTCCCAATTCTGCCCGCGCAGGCTGCCGGGCCGCACTACCCCAGCAACGCGGCCTGTCGCGGCCCGGAAACCTCGCTGGGCCTGCTTCCCCGCCTCCGTGCCCCTTCTCCGAATGTCTAGGGGCCCGTCAGTGGGGTGGGAACTCTGTCTCCACTTACTTCTCTTAACCAACCTAAGAAACTGTTTGCGGAGTGACTGGGTGGGGTCTAGTCAGGGACAAGAAGTAGCCAAAGGGGCGAGGTAGGCCAGTGCCTAAATCAGGAATTTTTCCTGAGGCAGAGGCACGGCCTACACCGGAATTAAAATAGGCAAAAAGTGGGGCGCCTGGCTGGCTCAGTCCGTAGAGCATGCAACTCTTGATCTCGGGGTTGTAAGTTCGAGCCCCAGGTGGGGTGTAAAGGTTACTTTAAAAATATTTAAAAAATAATAAAATAGGGAGAAAGTCTGAGATGGGGCGGGCTTTAGGTAAAGGCCAGAGCAGATGAAGCGGGATGTAGCAGGGACCGAACTTCAGAAAAGTCGGGATCAAACTTCAGGGTGGAGCCCGCGATGGGACTGGGATTAGGATGTGACCGTGGGACAGGCGTGGGTGGCAGGTGGAGCAAAGTTGCTAGGAGGCCTACAGTGGAGCAGGGGCAACACGTGGGAACCCCAGTGCTGGCGCAGAGTCTGCATTTGGAAATCAGGGACCTGAAATAAATAGGGGCGGGGCTTCATTTCGAGATGGGCACGGCTTTAAGCCGAGAGCCCTGAGGCAGAAGGGAGCCAGCCTCAGGGGGCGCACGGATGGGCGGGGCTGCTCGGCCTGGGCTCCGCCCGGAGGACCGTGACGTCATCAGCGGGAGTGGGCAGGGCGAGGTGGGCTCGCGTGCCAGGCCACGCCCCTGAACTACCTGCACCACCACGTGGCCCCTGCGGTGGGTCGTACTGTTGTTGACCATAGAGACGATGGCCACGCCCAGGTTGCAGCGGATCCCAAAGCTGATGCAGAAGCCCAGACCGCTCATGATGGCGATAATGTAGCGGCGAGGGAGACCGAAACAGGTGCAGTCCACTACCGGCGGGTCCCGGGTCTGCGTCGTCACCGGGCGTCCGTCAGCGCTCAGCTCTAGCGTCTCTGCACCTTCCTGTCGCTTCTCTAGAAGGCTGCGGGGCAGCAAGAGTCGAAGACTCGTAAGTTCAGTCCCGCGGCCCCCTCCTCCCCACGACACAGGAGTCCGGGGCAAAACCTCCTGCTTTTCAAGACTCTAAGGATGCTAACTAAGCCCGCACTCCCTCCTTCCCCAGGAGTCCAGGCCTAGCTCCCATCTCCCCCCCCCAAAACAGACACCCAGGATCCAGGAACCTGGACACCCTCTCTCCATACGCTTCAGACCAGAAATTCACGCTGCCAGCCCCCTTCTCCTGCAGACTCCGGTGTGGAGGTCCTCAGTCCCCTTTTCCCCCAGCCCCGTTATCTCTCGACTCAGGAGTTTTAGACCCCAAACTACACTTGGTGATCCAAGAGCCTGTGCCGCCAGCCCCCACCCCGAGGCCCAGAGACTCTTCAGCCCCCCTCTCCCAGATATGAGTCTATTTGAGGAAGCAAAAGGCGCTAAGGAGATGCTTCAGCAAAGGTGTCAAAAGAACAGATGCTTCTCAGCCACGTCTGCTATATATACCGACCGCCCTCCTCCCCTGCCCCCAGTGGCATGCCCTTCCCTGCTTCCAGGCCCCAGGTGTGGGGCTGACATCCAGCTGATTCCCTTCAGCCACCGGAAGCCCATTCCCGGGGGGTGGGGAGAAGTCAGGGTCCCTGGAATCCAGCAGCCCAGCCAGACACCCCTGGGGAACCTTGAGTTCAGGCTGTCAGCTAGAGGGTAGGGAGGGGGGAGTGGCGGGTGATGTCCTGGCAAGGGACAGATGGCCCTGGTAGGGGGATTGGCTCAGTCCCCAGCGTGGCTCTCGCCCCCGCCCGTTCTGGAACCGGGATTGAGTCTGTGATGATGGATAGGGTATTTGGAGAGCCACCTCACACCCAGAGAGTGGCTTCCGGGAAAGAGAGGTGCCCTGAGACAGGTGTGCAGAGACCGAAAAGGAGGGCGACAGAGATGGGAGGGGCACAGAGGCTGAAACAAAAGGGTCCGAAATAGAGAAGGAGGGACAGAGACCCAGAGAGAGAAGGGAGAACAGAACAGACCCTGGGAGGGAAGGGGACAGAAACTGAGAGATGGAGGGGGACAGAGACCCAAACATAGGTGGGGACAGGAAAACAAAAGAGAAGCTATAGTTGCAGAGACCCAGAACGTTGAGAGAAAGATGGAGAGACCGGGGGACCGAGGAGAGACAAGCTGGGGACGTGATTTGTGAGATTCGGCCCCTCTCTGAGGCGGGTACGCAGCCAGAGGATCGGGCTGGATCCCAGGAAGGGGCTAGAACAGATGGAGGCGAGGGAGACTGGGACGGGGGAGGAAAGAACAGCCAGACGGTCTGGGGGGAGGCGGGTGGAAGAGATGAGAGAACACAGCCACCCTCCCCATCCTAGAACTTAAGGAGGTTGGGGGGGCGCTGAGAAATGGGGGTAGGAGAAAGAACCTGGGGGAGTGGACAGAACCCAGGAGGGGCGAGGAATGAGAGCCAGAGAGAGGGGGAATAGATGCCCCAGAATGAAAGTGCGAGGTGGTAGGGACTGCCCCGCACCCCGCATCAGAACATGCCTGCCAGTGGGATTAGACTTTGACCCAGGCCCCTATCAGACGCTATTCAACCCTGACACTCAGGAGGTGCTTGCAGCCCCTGAAATTTGATACTCAGTTGTTAATACTCCAATGTGTCTGATCTCTAACCAAGGTTTTCCAAATGGGGTGTGGCAGGGGCTCGGTCTCCCACATCTAGAAAATGGGGGCAGGGGTAGAATGTGAGGTTACAGAGAGGGAAACTCCAGGTGATACTGATCATTTCAGGATACGAGAACCAAGGGCGCAGAGATGATGTGGCCCAAGTGCTTCCCCCGAAGACAAGAACGGAGAGGGGAGAACCTGGAGGGAGATCCTCCTCCCTTTCCTGGGTGCCTGGAACTCGGGTCTGGGGAGGACTTGAGGACGAGGAGAAGCTACACTTAGGAAGCAGTTCACCAAAATGAAGAAGGTGTCGCAGTCTCCCTCTCTGGGTCTCTGTCTTTGCTTCTCTGGGGTTCTCTGTCCGCTCCCTTGCCCCCCCAAGCCTCTGTCCCCTTATGTCCCTTGTTACTCTCTTCCCATTGTACAGCTAAGGAAAAACGGAGGTTCAGAAAGCAGAAGGAGCACGTCCAGGGTCACACACCAGAGTACTGATGGGTCCTGATAATTTCCTGGCCCCCCGCATGGCCCCATCCAAGGCCTGGCTCTCAGGAAGGAGGCACCTTGGCTCCTGTCTCTCCTGCATTCCCCTTCCTCCCATGTCCTTGCCCCAAGTCGCTCTGGGTTAACGTCTGTTTCCTGGGCTGACGGAGTTCCCCACCCACTCTAGGATCACTCATCTCATCTCGAGGAAACTGCAGCCTCCATCCCCGGCTTGGGAGGGGCTGGCCTGGGTTCAAATGATGACGCTTGTACTTATCCGTGCATTTCTCCCCCTACTCGAACTAAGCCTCAGTTTCCCCAGCTTTGTCTAAAAGATTAAATGGTATCAGGGTGGTGTTATGTCCGATACAGGGCATTCCTGCCTCTCTCCGACCATCGGAGTGAACCCCAGGGTTCCGACGCAGTGCTCTTCTCAAACTCCAACTCCTTGGTGAGTATCCTGGTGGGAGCTCTGAGCTCTGGGGTCTGCAGGGGCTCAGGAGGCAGCTCAGAGAGGTGAAGGTAAGGCACAGACAGAGAGAAACCCAGGCACAGATGAGAAGCTGAGAAGCAGGGATTGAGGGAGGGGGCCTGAGGAACACATCCCTCCTGCCACCACCCCCCTTCCAGCCCCCTCCATAAGCACGTCTCTCTCCCTCTCCTGACTTCGCACTGATGTATTTTGAGAAACTCGTGAAAGGAGGCGAGAAAAAGGGTGGGGAGGGGCTGGAAGATTGGGAAAAGAAGGGGTGAGGTTATCTCAGCTCCCCCTCCCCCCACTGCACCATCCTCCTGCCCCCTCCCTTCTGTCCAGCCTTACTCCCATCTCTCCAGTTCCTAGAGGATGGGGGACCTTTGGAACTAGGAGGTGACCTGCAGCGAGCAGGACTAGTGTTTGTCTTAGAGAAGGACTTGCATGGCCTAAGGAGATGGACTGAGGGTCAACTAAAGATGGGGTCAGGGCCAAGGGGACAGGGTACGAGGAAATGGCAGCAGGGGTGCTGATGGGGCCATCTCCTCCCCGCACTGTGGCCAGATATTTTTAGGCTTCTCCGCAGCTGAGTAATTTATCTGACTTGGAGCCAGGGCTGGGGTTGGGGGTGAGAGGCTGGGGGGAGGTGTCCAGACTGCCCTGGGGGACACCCAAATCACTGGGGTCATCTCCCTGGATGAAAGGAAGTCCGTCTTAGCTCTAGCCTATATCCTTTGGGAAGTCTGCAGTATCCCAGGAGCCTCATTTTTGGCCTGCAACTTCTTTCTCCCCCAGAGACCCAGGATACCCTGGCTTCTCCTCCCAGCTTATCTCTCCTCAAGGACAAGGACCAATGGGCCCCAATCCGCTTTAGCTTCAGATTAAACTCTGAGAGATGGAAATTGAGAAGACACGGGGAGATGGAGACACCCAGGGTGGGGGATTAAAAACCCAGAGTGAGGGGGACAGACACCCAAAAGGAAAGGGTCAGAGACCCAGAGAGAGGGCAGCAGAGACTTAGAGAGGCGGGGACAGAGACCCAGAGAGGGGGCAGAGATCTGAAGAAAGAAGGCAGAGTGAAGATAAATGAACGGAAACCAAAAGTGGGGAAGGGGGTCAGAGACCCAAAGAGAAGGAGATATGCAATCCCAGGGAAAAAAGGATAAAGTCTGGGGTGGGGTGGGGCACAGAAAAATGAACGAGATGATGGATGAGACTGGACCAGGGAGAGGGGACGGTCAAAAAGGAGGGAGAAAACCGGACAGATGGGTGGAACCCCCATCCACGGGTATCGCCCGTCCATCTGTCCGTCCAGGCCCAGGTGGGAATGTGAGTCCTCCTCGGACCCTCGGGCTCTTCCCCGCCCAGGACCCTCACCACGCTCACCGGTGCAGCCTCCCGAGGGCACGACCCGCTAGCTTCCGAAACTCCTCCTGACGGAACTCCATGGTGGCTGCCCCTGCCGCCGGTCCCCCCGCCGATCCCCCCGCCCGCGGGCCCGGGCGGCCGCGTCCGGGTTCCCGGGGTCCGCCCCGGCCCGGCCGGCCCCGCAGCTCCGCTCGGGGGGGAAGGAGGCTGCGTGTGCTGGCTGCCTAGGGGCTGTAGCTGGACTCAGCGTCGGGGGCGGGGCGGGCGGTGGCGATACCCCGCCCATCCTCGATAGACCACGCCTCTTATATTCTAGTCCCGCCCCCTTTCGCAGCCCTCCAGCTAGGTTCTGTTCCTGCCCTTTCATTACAAGACCACGCCTCTGGGCTCTGAACTGCTCCTCTGAGTTGCATCGCCCCAATTCCATCCCTTCCCGGAGTTACTCCCCCCGTTCCATCCCCCCAGCTCCTTCCATCTCTTTTCTCTCCTCCCGAGTTCTCTTGCTCACCTGAGGTTTCCCTCTCCTTTTTAGTTTGCCCTAATTTCGTCCTTGCTTTTCGTCCCCTACGGTTCCATCTCCTGCGTTCTCATCCTCCCAGCCCTATCCCTGCGAGTTTCTGTGCCCTCCAGTTCCACATCCCGCCCCCCGATTTCCATCCCCATCCCTCATGATCCTCAGTTCAACTTCCTCATTCAGAGGGTGCTTTTCTCATTCAGGGAATTCTTTACCCCTGAATTCCGACCCCCATTTTGATCCACCCATTGTCCCCTCTAGTTCTTCCCCTCTCCGGTTTCTTCCCTCTTGACTTCCATCCACCTGTTTCCATCTTTCCTTTTTAAAATTCTATTCCCTCCCAGTTCTATTTCCCCTCGGGTCCCGTGCCCCTCCTGGTTCCTTTATCCTTGATTTCCTTCCCCTCTGAGTTCCATCCCTGACAGTTATACGCCCGTCCCCAGTAGCGACCCCCATAATTCCCAACCAGCCTGGAATCTATCCCTCCCTTTGAGTTCCGTCCCTACTCTCCCGAGTTCTCTTCCCGCCCCTTGAGTTTGGTCCCCTCCCCTGAGATCCGTCCCTGCCCTAATTTTTGCCCCTTCCCGTGGAATCGGTCCGAGTTCTGTCCCCACCCACTGAGTTCTTTCCCCGCCCCCTGAGTTGTGTCCCCTCCTGCTCGGGTCTGTCCCCGCCCTCTTACTCCATCTCTGCCAGCCCTGCCCCTTTGGGGTTGAACCCGGACTATTTCTCCGGCCCGGGTCCTGCCCCTGCTCCTTTCGCCAGACCAGCTCTTCTCCCCGACGCTCAGTCCACCTCCAGATCCAAGCCCCGGGAGGGTGCTCCTTTCCTCACCGCCTCCCTGAGTCGGGCCGCAAATGCATTTGGGATTAAATTTTCATGAGGTGGCACAAGCCCTCAGGGAGGTTGGGAGGGAGCAGCCGACGAGGCGGGCGGGCGCCACGGACCCGGTGGCCCGGCAGCCACTGCCCGCCACGGCCTCCCGTTTCTTGCCTTGTCCCGCTGGGTCTCTGGGTCTCACAGTTTGGGCTATGTTTGCGAAACCCCCGGGGAGGGGGAGGCTGGGGGCTGGGACCCCAGGGTCTGAGGGAGGAGGGGCTGGAGACCCGGACTCCTGGGTCTGAGGAGGGAGTAGCCCGCTGAGCCGTCCACGAGCGCCACCCTGTGGCGGCAGAATTCCCGGCCCGGGTGCGGAGGCGGCGGCCGCGGCTCCGGGCCAGGTGTGAAGGTGGAGCAGATGGTGAAGAGGAGGGAGTAGGAAGGGGGCCCCAGCCGCTGCCAAATCCCGGGCCTTCGCCGGAATCATCACCATGGAGACCGAAGAAGGCGGAAAGGACCCAGCTCCACGCTTTTTTGGGACCTGGGAATGAGTTCCTCGGCTTCCTACGGGGGCTCCCCGTGCGAACTACAAGTCCCAGCGGCCACTGGACTTCACTGTTTGCTTCGGAAGAGCCGCGCTCACCGAGGGTCGCTGGGAGTTGTAGTTTTCTGAAACACCAGGCTGAAGCCGCGAGCCGCCCTCTGGTGGACAAGGCGCCACGTTCATAGGTCCAACAGACCCCATTATCACTTCATAGGTCCAACAGACCCCATATCCGAGGTCATCCCCCTACCTTTTCACCTCCTCACCATCTATCTACTCCTGCCTCCCTACCAAATTCAGTCCATTCTAACCACACTGATGTCCTCGCTGTTCTTCCAACATTTACCACTGAGGTTCCTCCATTTACCTATCCTCCTAGGACTCGCTATGGAAGGAGAGAGGTGTCAATCATACGTTAACTCAACATTCGTTGAGTTCCTTCTAATTCTAAAGCATCATCACACCACAGGGGCATACATTCAATGAAGTAACACTGGATACCAGACACCGCCAGAGGAGGATTCTAACTCAGCTAGGGGAGATCAGAGAAAGCTTGAAGTTTGAAAAGCTTCCCAGAAAAAGCTCACTGAAAGGAATGACTTGGGAGGCGGCGGAGGGAGTGTCCACAGGAGAGGAAACAGTACTTGCAGAGTCAGGAAGTAGGACACAGTTTGGTGTGATTGTGACCTGAAGCACCATTCCAGGAATAAGAGGATCGTCAGGACGAGAGGTAGGAGAGGCTAGAGATGACAGCATGTATCAGATTACTAACGGACTCATGAAAGGTCCCCTGGGAGGGCAAGACAATTAGACACTTCCCGGGTTTTACTGGAGGAAATGATACTGAGTAGAGGGAACAGCGGAAACTAAGAGAAGGTGCAACACACAGGTGTGGTCAGGACACCCTTCAGTGTGACGGGATTGAGTGAGAGGAAGGACGGGAATAAAATGAGGCATAGGGACGTCTGACTTTGGCTCAGGTCATGATCTTGGGGCCTGGGATAGAGCCCTGCACTGGGTTCCCTGCTCAGCAGGGAGTCTGCTTCTCCCTCTCCCTCTGCCCCTCCCCCTGCTTGTGCTCTCTCTCATTCTAATTAAAAAAAAAAAAAGAGGCATCAAGGGGGCCACACCAACATGGCCTGGGGTGCTAGGCTGAGGGGCTGGGACCTTCTCCTGGGGCACTGGGGAGCCAAGGAGGGGATCTAAAGAGGAGAGGGGAGGGTCAGCTCTGGGACGGTGTGGGACAGGAGGGGAGACTGGAGGCCAGGAGGCCGGGGAGAGGATCTGGAGGGGGAGAGGCTGAGGCCGAAGCTGGAGCAGTGACTGCTCTGTGACTCTAGGACCCAGTCCAATGTCCCTCTTTCCTCCCACTCCCCTTGTACTCCTAGCCAGACACAGAACAAAGGCAAAAATCCTTTATTTCAATTTCAGAGAAGCCCCCACCAGTCTCTTCTCTCCACCTGGAAACAGAGAAAGAAACCCAGTCAAGAAGCCACCGACAGAAGGGGCATGGCCACCATCAGTTGCTGAGGAGAGACAGGAAAAACAGAATGAGGATTCAGGACCAGGACACTTCCCTGTTCCCTGCACACCTCCCCCTAGCCCCCCAGGCACCTTTCTCTTCCGATGGAAGGCTGCCTTGCTCTCCCTGGAGTTGATCCGCAGGGGGATATACGCATCCAGATGGTACAGCTGCTGGGGGCCCCCCATCACCAGGCGGTTCTCCCCGATCTCCAGCGACAGCCCCAGAGCTCCGTCCTGACAATACAGTGAAGTAAGCCCACCCTTCCCTTCCCAGCAACAAGGCAATAATCAGGTGGACCGGGGAGAAAAGCCTCCTGTGTCGGGATACCATATGTAAAGGGTCTAATCCTCCAGGACAAAGATGAGAGACAGTAATTACAAGTCCCCATGACTGAGCACTTACAATGTCCCAAGCACCCTCAGGACAGCTCCCAAAGTGGGCCCAAAGGACCCATGGCAGGCAGCTGTACTCAGGGGGCAGGACTCACCAGGCTCCCACAGGTCTGGCAATGAGCCCCGCTCACTCCCCCTCAGAGACCCCAACCCTTCCAGACCTTTCTCCAGCTCTGCTCAAGCGTGCACTCACCAGTTTGGGGAGATCAATTTCAGCCAAGAGGAGATCAGGGGCTTCCAGCCAAAGGTTCAGGTGAGGCTTCTCACGGCTGGGGAGGAACAAGACCCAAAATTGAGGAGAGCCCACCAGCTCCTTGCCAGCGTTCATCCTTTCCTTTCTCCCGCCTCTGAGCCCTGCTGCCTCGGGGAGCCTTCTCGGTGGGAGTGCTGCTTCTCCCCTCTCTGGGTTCCCAGAGACCCCAGGACACTGCTTCCTATGGGGAGGGAGAAACGTGAAAGAGAGAACCCATGGAAAGCGCACCGTTCCTCAGGTCTCAGGGAGTCAGGAGTATACAGGTTTCCCAGCTCCTGGATCCGAGGACGCTGCTGGGATCGGATATTTTGCTGGGAGATGGAGCCCAGGAAAGGCCGGTTCTTCAACATGCGCCACTCTGCGGGTAGGAAGCTCGGGGTCAAAGGTGGCACGGGTAAGCGTTCCCTTTGCTTCCATAGGGGTCATGACAGCAAGAGCCTCAGGGGAAAGGACGCGCCCCTCCAAGGATGCCAGGGATCTGGCCACACCCCCAAGCTTGGCTTTAGGAAATCTGCCCACCTTAGTCCTGCCCTTCCGGGGTATATCCCCCCCCTCCAAAAAATCTGTCCCTGGAGATGCTCCTGGCTCCGCCTCCTGGCTATCCAGACCCCGCCCCTTATCTGGTTTCTGGGTCAGCCCCGCCCACATCCCCAACCTTGAGAAACCTCGCCTTCTCCCTATAATCCACAGCCTAGGGACCAAGAAAATCCCTGTCCACACTAGCCCCACCTTTCCCAAGGGCTGCCCCCAAGCTGCTCCGGTTCCTCTAGTCCCCGCCGGCCCCGGGCCCGCCCCTCACCTGGATTCAGCTGCAGACTGTATTTGTCCTCAAGGCCCTCCCTGGCGATGGTGACCACGAGCTCTCGCAAGAAATCGCTGTTCTAGGAGTGAGAGAGGGAGGCTGCGGGAGGGCTCCAGGTGGAGGGAGAAGCTCCGGCCCAGGCCTCACCCGCAGCCCCGCCCCCAACCTGCATCCTCCGGTAGAAGTCGCTGTTGACGGCTACGTCGTAGGCGGTACAACCCTGGCCTTCTGTGGGGAGAGAAAGGGGGTGAGACCCCCAGCCCTCCGAGGGAACCCCACCGCCGGATAAAGACAAGGCAAAACCAATAACGGCCAGCAGCCGCAAGAACCAGAGAGACCCAGAGACAATCAGAAGGTAAGGGCTCAAGACTCGCACTTGCCAGTCTGGAATCATACCAGCCTCGTCTCTTCCTCTCGGGTCCTTTCCCACCATGTCCCAGCGCTGACCTCGCCCCTTCCCTGCACACAGCCCTCCCATGGCTCCCCAGCGCCCCAGATGAAGGTATGTGTCCTTCAGGCGTGGCGTTGAAGACCCTGTGTGGTCTGCTCCTCCCCCCTGGAGATAAGCTCACTTCTCTGTTACTCTAGGACCCAGTCCAATGTCCCTCTGGTCATTGGGGGGATCTGGTCCCTTTAAATTTCTTCCAATCTCTCTTGATTACTGACCAATCCAATTCAATCACTGCAGCCTCTGTACTCCTCTGTCCCCTCTGCCTAGAACCCTCTTCTCTGTCTTGGCCTGATGAACTCCTCTGGTTCCTTCACATCTTATATCTGACACCTCCTCCTCCAGGAAGCCTTCCCAGACCCTTCAGTTGGGTGAAGAGCCCCTATCAGAGCAGCACAAATCATACCATATTGAAACCGCATCCGTCCCCTCCACCCTCAATCTAAGACTAGGAGTGTCTAAGGGCAAGTTCTGGGTATGATCAGTCCCCAGGGCACTGCCCAAAGCCTGGTCCCAGGAGGCTTCAGGCGACATATGTGATTTGAAACACAAGCATATAGAGTCAGAAACTCAATAGAGACCGGTGAGACACAGCTGAGAGATAGAGACGGGGAGAAGGGTGAGGAAGGAAACAGGAACAAGAGTGAGCGCTGGTCTGGCCAGCTAATGAGGACACCTGCCCAGCTCGCCCTCACCATGGAGTAGGGCAGGGAGAAGTCCAGCCTGGCCAGGTGGGCAGGACGAGGACTGTCCTGTGCAGCAGGCACTAGAGGCCCAGGAAGCTGGGCATATGTCACAGAGAAAAGGATAAGATCAGGAAGGCCAGATTTCTGGGTGCTGAGGGAGGAGGGTCCTGGGCCCTGGATCTTGGATCCTCGGGAAGAAAGGACCCAGGGAGCTAGAGCCTTGGGTCCTCTGAGGGCACTGACTTGCATCCAGTTCGGCATGAGGTTCTCCCAGACTCATGGGGATGCGAAAACCGGCTTGGTCTTCCTCCAGCATTTGAAGTAGCTCGTCCTCAGTCATGTCAGCCGGAGGAGGGATGGAAGGAGAGTGACAGATGTTGATGAACACCTTCCCTTCGGATGAGTTGGTCTTTATGCAGAAACCTGACGGAAATGGGTTTGTCCTGAGTGTCTGCCTCTGCATGCACCTGGGTTTCCATCTATCCCCTCTTCAGTCTCAGTTCTTCTCTTGATCTGTCCCCTCTTTGGCCCCTTCTCTTGATCAGTCCTGTTTTCTGGGTCCGCTCCCCACTCCATTCCCTGGGATCTCTGCATCTCTTTCTGTCTTTGAGTCTCTGTCCCCCTAGTCATGCCTGTCCTCCTCCTCCTCTCTTTAGATCTTGGTCCCTTCCCTGCTCTCTCTGGATCTCTGTCACAACCCCTGTCAAGGCCTCTGTACCCCATTATTGTGCCTCTCTCTTGCCTCCTCTCTTTGTGTCCCCTGCCCCCAGCTTCTGTCCATCTCTCTCTAAGACTCTATCCCCCTCTCTCTCGGTTTCTGCCTTTCTCACCAGGTTGCGGTTGGATCTGTGTAGATTCTGGTCTGCTTGTCTGGGCTTGCTGGAGCTCCTTGGAGGCCTGTGTGAAGGAAAACAACAACCTCTGTACTATCAGACCCTCATTTGTTCTTCAAAGGTTTGTCGAGAAATTTTATGCATATGAGATGTGCACAGAATAGGACATACTATGTCTCTCTCCTCCTTTGAGGACCCCTAAGAAAAACCCAACCCCACTCTGCATTTCTTCCAGAGCCTAGCAAACTTGGGAGTTAAGCAACTACAATTCCATGTGGTGCGTTCTGGGAATGTAGTGTCATCTCTGAGCACCCACGGGCGTGCATACACACACACACACACACACACACACACACACATCCCCCGAACACCCAGGGACCCAGGAGCGGGTCAGTCCTCACCTGCAGCAGCAGCTCTTCAAAACGCTCGGTCTCCGTGCCCATCTTCTCTGCCTCGCCTAACTCCGGCACCAGCAGCTTCGAGTCCGCCATGGCCCTGAGGAAGAGACCTAGGCGTCCTCAGTAACCCCGACGTGGGGGGGGGGGGGGGCCTGGCCAGGATCCGAACTGTGGGGCCTGCTGCCGGACCCACAACCGACTCCTGACACCCGCTATCCTGTATGAAAATCTAAGAATCTGGCCTGAGACTATAATTCCACTCAGACCAGATGCGGTTGTCCAATCTGTTGGGAGCCAATAGTTCCAGATGCTCTCCAAGTCCTATGAGCTAAACATGTAAATGACAGCCACACTTTCAGCCTCTGTAACCAAGGGCTTCAGCAGACCACGCTTCCGTCTACCTCGAACGCTCAGACACCAATCCGGCAACCGCACTACGTTCCGACCAATCATAGTCTAAGGCTGAAGCCACGCCTCTCACCTCAACCAATCAAAACTAAATCCTGAACCTAATTTCTGAATGCCACACTTCCTGTGTCGATTAAAGCTGTACTTCTCCTCTTTCCAGACCACATCTGGCCAAGCTACTGGACAGCCCAGGCTGGCACACTTTCAAAAACTTAATTTCAACGTCCATCCTAAAAGACTCCCTTCTGACCTCTGAACTATCGCTTCGTCCCAGAGCTCGATTCGATTCTCTAGTAAATTTACTTCGGACTAAAAGCTGAACTTCCTGCACTCAGTATGAACAGGGTGGAGAGAAGATACACCAATACGGTCACCCTTCTAAATCTGGAGCCTTGCTAACTATTTGCAAGACACCGCATTTTCTTCTCGTCCCCGACCCCCCCCCCCGCCCCGCCTCGCCTCGCCTCGCCTCGCTCTGAGGGTTGCGCATGCTCCAAATCACATTTCCCAGCTTGGGCATATGGGCGGGGCCATCGTGTCCAAGGCGGGGTTACGCTCTCTCCCGTAGCCCCGCCCCCTGCGCTGGAGTGGGCGGTGCCGCCCTTCGACCTCAAGGTGCCTCTGGGCAGAGCGCCCCGCACTCCTTGGTGGAAAGCGGGCCCGGGAGGGTGATGGCTGCGACGCGTGAAAGGACTAGCGCCCGAGAGATCTTCAACACGCTGGAGTACGGACCGGTGCCTGAGAGCCACGCATGCGCGCTGGTGAGGGCCTGCCGTTCGGCGTTGCCCATCCCCCTCCCTAGGCCTCCGGGTCCCGTTTGGCGCGCGACTCCCGTGATGCACCGCGGCAGCTCAGCAGCTCCGCCCTTCTCGGTTCCCGTGACTCAGGCAGCCCCTTTAGGACCCACCCTTGAAGGGCGTTCCCTTGATCCTTTGCGGCTGCTGCTTCTTAACCCTTGAGTCTCCCCCCTCTTGTTTCGGAGTAGTTCTCGTACCCCTTGTTCCGAACTTCGCGGCGGTGTTTCCCCGATACCTCAGAGCCCCCGGAGGGTCTCCTGTGATTCTTCAGCCCCCCCCCCCCGAACCTCCCGTGATGCCCAGGGACTCGGAATTCCTGTGGGGGCGCCCTTGATCTTCCAAGGACCCTCAGAATCGCCATGGACTTGCCGTGATTCCTCAGAACATCCTGTGGCTCCCGTGGCCCACTGAGCCGCACCCCCTGAACTCCTGTGGGGCTCCCGTCGTTCCTCAGGGCCCCCATCAATACTTGCGGGGCTCCAGGAGCTTGGGAACCTCGGGAGAGCTCAGAATTTAAATCACCTCAGAATACCACCCTCGTGGGGCTCCCAGGATTCTTCGGCGCCTCTTCAAGTCCTCATGAGGCTCCTGTGATCCCTCGGGGTCCCCCAGACCACCTCTTGTGGTTCCTGTGGTTAAGTAGGGTGCCTCGAATATTCTGTAATTACCTAGGCTCCTCAGAACTCCTTCCATGGGGCTCTCCTGATCCCACAGGGTCTTCTAGCATCCAGGAATGAGAAGCTTAGGCTGGAATAATGGAAGAAGATAAGACCAGAGCCTGGATCGGGCTGTGGAAGTGGATAGATGGATAGGAGGGCAAGAGGCAGAGATACAGGAGGAACGGTGTGGGACTTGAGAGGGCAAGGTAGTGTCTGAGGTCTGGCTGTCTCTGTCTGACCCACCACGACCACCACCAGTGGTGATCCCAGGAGAACTAGGGTTTCGAGGAAAGACCCTGAGCTTGGTTATCACATGGTGAGAGTGTGAGGGACCCGGGGACAGCCTTGGGCTTGTGCAGGCGTCAAACGCTACTTGGGCTCGAGCCTTCAGGTCTGGAGACAGGGACCTGGGAGTCACCAGTGTAGAAAGATAGCTGAACTGTGGGAATGAGGATCTGGGTCAGAGGACAGACAATTCCCACACTTGGAGGTTGGCTAGAGATGGAATATACTGAAATAGCAATAATGTGATCATAGCTTATATTTACTGGGAGCTCTCTGTGTTCGCTCAGTGTGATCTCATTTAATCCCCAGAACAGCTGTGAGAGGGGATTATTGTCATTATTTTAGCACACGGAGGCTGAAAGGGGTAAGCAATTTTTCCTACGGTCAACACAGTTTAAAAGAGGTGAAGCTGAGATTTGAACCTGAGCCCCCGGATTCCACAGCCCATGGTTTCCCCACCGCCTCCCAAGCAAAGGTCTCAACCTTCCAATGTGTGGGCCAGACTCGACCAACAAACTGTTTTCTTTGGCCTGTATTTTATTTTTGAAAATGTGAATTAGTGGTCAACTAATTCCCTGTAAACATCCAGGAGGATTCCAGCTTCTTTTGAAAATAAAACCCCAAAATTTGGCAATGTTTGGCTCACATTCCCTGACAAAAATCATCTGGATTCAATAGTGGCTGTCTTTTTAGGCAAGTCATGCGTTCCCAATCTCCACCAGCCCCTCTTCTCACACTAACATGACTTGCCAGGACCCTGTGGACATTCCTTTAGGGTTTTGTTTTTCTTGGGCGGGGGGAGTTTGCAAACTTCCACAGAGCAGTTAATACTGCTACTTACCTATTCCTCAGCTTCAGGAATCGCCAACATTTGGTCCAGTGTTGTCTTCTATTGTTTTCTCTTTTTTCTGGAATGATTTAAATCCCAGATGTCGTGTTAGCTTCCCAGAAATATTTGAATTCCCATTTCTAGCAGATAAGGACTCATTTCGTAACATAACCACCTAGCCTTTTTTTTTTTTTTTTTTTTGAGGGAGGGCTCGAGCGAGCGTGCAAGGCAGGGGGAGGGGCAGAGAGAATCTTAAGCAGTCTCCATGCCCAGCACAGAGCCTGACAAGGGGCTTGATCTCACAACCCTGGGCCGAAATCAAGAGTCAGACACTTAAGCGACTGAGACACCCAGGCACCCCCACCTAGCCATTTTTCACACTTCACATTAGCGGTCTTTTTTTTTTTTTAGATTTTATTTATTTATTTGTCAGAGAGAGAGAGAGAGCATAAGCAAGGGGAGCGGCAGACAGAGGGAGCAGCAGGCTTCCCGCTGAGCTGGGAGCCCAAGGCGGGAATTGACCCCAGGACCCTGAGATCATGACCTAAGCCGAAGGCAGACGCTTAACCCACTGAGCCACCCAGGCATCCCAGCGGTCATTATTTAATATCATCCAATGTCCAGCTCACATTCATACACCCCCAGCTGTTTCCAAAATGTGTCTTTCTCTGGGGGTATTTGAATTGGAAACTTCTGACTCACCATTTGACTTCAAAGAAAAAGAAGGGCCAGTTGGCAGGGTAATAGGAAAATCAGGAGAAGTGGCTTTGGGATGCTAAGAAGAGAGCAGTTGTAGAAGGAAAAAGTGGGAAGCATGTCTCGGATTTTGCCAGGATTTAAGGAAGACAGGACCAGGGAGAGAGACATGGAGCAGACGTGGAGGGCGAGGTGCAGTGGGATTAAGAGGCAATCCTACATAGTGCTGTTCTGAGTATATAATGGGCATTGAAGCATTTAATTCTCACCGCAGCCCTGTGAAGTAGAGAGCGGCTGTGATTATCCCCATCTTCCAGATGGCTTAGCCAAGCCCAGAGTATTGTAACACCCTAGCTAAGGTTGCACAATAAATACCAGAGCCAAGATTCAAAATCCTAGCTCCAGAGACTCGGTCCCATTTGCAATGCCTGTATGCTTTGCGTTGGGCTCAGGTAGACATGTCACATCAAATAAGTCTGCACCTGGCAGGCCTGTGTCTTCAGCGGGAGTCCATACTGCTCCCCAAAGTGACGACCGCAGAGGTGGGAGGGAACGCCATCACATGGCCAGGTGCGGGAGCCACCTGGCTTAGAAGCCCCACCTTCCAAAAAGAACCTGATACTGCTTGGGAACAGTGTCATGGGCATTGCCTCCAGGGTTGTGACAAGGTATGTACCCAATCACAGGAACGCAGAGCAATCAGAAAGCCCCAATGCCCTGGCTTCCCATTGGAGCCTTATGGCGTGTTCCCAATTTTCCCAGTCAGGTGCGGTAGACCATTCAGGAGTCATTGTTGCCTGGTAATGCAGCTGAATTGTCTCATGTGTCCTGAGAAATAGGAAGTTCACCTGAGGTCATTTCTCCACGGAGGAGAAAGGGTTTTATTAAGCCACATTTCAAAGTCAGTAGGACAGGGGCGCCTGGGTGGCTCAGTGGATTAAGCGTCTGCCTTCGGCTCAGGTCATGATCCCGGGGTCCTGGGATTGAACCCCAGTAATGGCTCCCTGCTCAGCGGGGAGTCTGCTTCTCCGCCTCCCTTTGCTCCTCCTCCTGCTTGTGCTGGCTTGCACGCTCTCTCTGTCAAATAAATTAAAAAAAAAAAAGCAAAGTCAGTAGGACAGCCCTCACATATCTCTGGTGAGAATGTAAAACAGCTTGGTGGTTCCTCCGTAAGTTACTCGTGGAGTTGCCATATGACCCAGCAATTGCCCTCCTGGGTACAAATGCCTAGAAGAAGTAAAGATGGGTGTTCGAACAAAAACTTGTACATGCATGTTCTGAACGGCACTATTCACAATAACCAGAAGGCAGAAACAAACCGAATGTGCATCCACCGGTGATAAATGGATAAACAAAATGTGGCCTATCCAGACATTGGAATATTATATAGCTGTAAAATGGAAAGGGGGTTTTTGTTGTTGTTTTTTTTTAAGAGAGAGAAGACAGGGAGGGGCTGAGGGAGAAAGAATCTTAAGCAGGCTGCACGCCCAGCATGGAGCCCAATGCGGGGCTCAATCTCACAACCCTGAGATCATGACCTGAGCCGAAATCGAATCAGATGCTTGGGGGGTTGGGGGATGGGTTAGCCTGGTGGTGGGTATTAAGGAGGGCACGTATTGAATGAAGCACTGGGTATTATATGCAAACAATGAATCATGGAACACTATATCAAAAACTAATGATGTAATGTATGATGACAACATAACATAATAAAGTTAAAAAAAAAAAGAGTCGGAGGCTTAACCGACTGAGCCACCCAGGAGCCCCAGGAACGGAGTATTGATACATGCTACAACTGGATGAACCTCAAAAACAGCATGTTGGGTGAAAGAAGCCAGCCAAAAAAGTCACAGATTGTAAGGTTCTGTTTCTGTGAAATATCCAGAGTAGGCAAATCCACAGAAACAGGAAGCAGATTAGTGGTTGCCAGGGGCTAGGGGCAGGGGGAAGGGAGAGTGACTGCCTAATGTGTACAAAGTTTCCTTTTGGGGGGAACGGAAACGTCCTGGAACGAGATTGTGGTGATGGTGGCACGTCCTAAATGCTGTTGTTTTTTTGTTTTTTTTTTTTTTTAAAGATTTTATTTATTTATTTGACAGAGAGAGAGAGCACAAGTAGGCAGAGAGGCAGGCAGAGGGAGAGGGAGAAGCAGACTCTCCACTGAGCAGGGAGCCCGACGCGGGGCTCGATCCCAGGACGCCGGGATCATGACCTGAGCCGAAGGCAGCCGCTTAACCGACTGAGCCACCCAGGCGCCCCTAAATGCTGTTGAATTGTACTACACTTTAAAATGGTTAACGTGATGAGTTTTAGTTTATAATGTATTTTACATTTGTGGGTTATTTTCCTTCTACACAGGAGAAGAATTAGCGGGGGGGGGCAAAGGGGGTCAGGTGTCCCTCTCCCAGAGGATTCTAGGCAGGAATTGACCTCCCCCAGCTGGCTCCCAGACCCCATTCCAAACCGTCTTCACCTCCCACAGGCCTGGCTGGACACCCAGGACCGACACTTGGGTCACTATGTAAATGGGAAGTGGTTAAAGCCAGAACACAGGAACTCAGTGCCTTGCCAGGATCCCATCACAGGTATGAGGTGTCCCCCAGCTGCTAGGGTAGGGAGAGGCGTCTGTACCCCCAGCTGTACCAACAACAACGCCCCATTCCCTTGGCTCGGGGCCCTGAGGCCAGGGAGTAGCCAGTGGGGGAAGAAGGCCAGGATTGCTGGCTCTTCCTGTTAGCAGTCATCCTAATTATGACTCCAAGTCCCTATGTACGCTTTAAAGATCCCTTCCTTGATTACGGGAGACAGAGCAATGACCAGTAGGGTTATAATAGAGTGGGGCTAGGGACCAGCTTTCCTGCCTTGGGGTGCACCCGGGCTCTGGAAATCTTAGCCCCCTCCAGTTCTGACATGGGCTCCCCCCCTTCCCGTCTGGGGTCCCTCCATTCATCTCCCCAGGAGAGAGCTTGACCGCTTGCCTCCAGGCACAGGCTGAGGATGTGGCGGCAGCCGTGGAGGCAGCAGGGACTGCGTTCGAGAACTGGAGTGGACTCCCTGGAGCCTCTCGGGCTCAGCACCTGCTCAGGTGACGCAGTTGAGGTGTGGGCCTTGGGAGGTGGGGAAGGACTCCGTCCCCCAGCATCCCACTTGAGACTGTTGGAACAAAGACTCCATTTCTCGATATCTCGCTGAATTACTTGTAGCTAAGGCTTATGGCCAGCATGCCTTCAAGCCTTTAGCAGCTAAAAAATCCATACACCATACACCAGGGCTGGTGATGAGAAAGCTGTTTCTCATCACCAGAATAGCCCCGGGGCTCATCGAGGCTCCATTTTCCTGGCCCCAGTGCCCATTTTCCAGCATACTCTTGGGGCAATTCGAGACAAAGTTTCCATTTTCTTTTCTTTTTTTTTTTTTTTAAAGATTTTATTTATTTATTTGAGAGAGAGAGAGCATGAGAGAGGGGAGTTCAGAGGGAGAAGCAGACTCCCCACCGAGCAGGGAGCCCGATGCGGGACTCGATCCTGGGACTCCAGGATCATGATCTGAGCCAAAGGCAGTCGCCCAACCAACTGAGCCACCCAGGCACCCCAAAGTTTCCATTTTCTAAAAGAACAATTGAGATTAGAGGTTCAACTTCAATTTTGCAGCACTTTGGGGGTCGCTGGTGGCCACAATCTTCACACGGCCCTTTCTGGTTTTGTGGTTCTCGAACTACATTTCCCATAAATCTTTGAGGCTCTCCACCCCTGGTAAATGATGGGGATGCCCCCAGGAGATCGTAGGGATTGTAGTCCAAGTACATAGGGGGTGTCCCAGGACTGTGTGACTGAAGGGCAGTGGGAAATGACTCCCCCCCCCCGGCTTTCTCTGCAGACTGGCCAAGATGATCCAGAAGCACCAGCGGCTGCTGTGGACCCTGGAGTCCCTGGTTTCTGGGCGAGCCGTTCGAGAGGTTCGAGATGGGGATGTCCCACTGGCCCAGCAGCTGCTCCAGTACCACGCTGTCCAGGCGTACACCCAGGAAGAGGTGCTGGCAGGCTGGGAGCCCATGGGTAAGAAGCAGGAGTCCTGGCCCCCAGCCCTTCCTCCCTTATGACCTAGCAGTACGTGCCCCAGTCTCTTTATTTATTCTTACAGGAGTAATCGGTCTCATCTTGTCACCCATGTTCTCCTTCCTTGAGATGATGTGGAGGATTTGCCCTGCCCTGGCTGTGGGTAATTGTTGGGTTGGGTCTGAGGGAGAAGGGGTCTGGGAGACATGGACCCCTGGGTCTGAGGGAGGAGGGGCTGAGGGCCTGGACTCCTGGGTCTGAGGGAGGAGGGGCTGGGGGCCTGGACCCCTGGGTCTGAGGGAGGAGGGGCTGGGGGCCTTGGACTCCTGGGGCTGAGGGAGGAGGGGCTGAGGGCCTGGACCCCTGAGTCTGAGGGAGGAGGGGCTGGGGGGCTGGACCCCTGAGTCTGAGGGAGGAGGGGCTGGGGGTCCTGGACCCCTGGGTCTGAGGGAGGAGGGGCTGGGGGTCCTGGACCCCTGGGTCTGAGGGAGGAGGGGCTGGGGGTCTGGACCCCTGGGTCTGAGGGAGGAGGGGCTGGGGGTCCTGGACTCCTGGGTCTGAGGGAGCAGGGACTGGGGGGCCTGGACTCCTGGGTTTGAGGGAGGAAGGGGCTGGGGGTTTTAACTCCTGGGTCTGATGGAAGAAGGAGCTGGGACCCCTGGGTCTGAAGAAGAGGGTTGGGGGCCCAGACTCCAGGGTCTTTGAGCTGCCCCCCTTTTCCAGGCTGCACTGTGGTGGTCCTCGTGCCGCCAGCCTCCCCGACACCCCTCCTCCTGGCCCAACTGGCAGGGGAGCTAGGCTCGTTCCCAGGAATCCTCAATGTGATCAGTGGCCCTGCCTCCCTGGGCCCTGTCCTGGCCTCCCATCCTAGAGTCCAGAAGGTGACCTTCTGTGGAGCCGTCGAGGTATCTTTGGGGTTGGGAGGGGGATAGGATGTGGCTGGGAGGCCGGAAGCCCCCTCCCTTGGCTGAATCCAGTGGGGGTCCTGCAGGAAGGACGTGCCCTTCGGCGGACCCTGGCGGGCAAGGGTGCCGAGCTGGGCCTGGCACTGGGGGCTGAGTCGCTGCTGGTGCTGACGGAGGCGGCGGATGTGGACTCAGCCGTGGAGGGCGTCGTGGATGCAGCTTGGTCCGACCGCAACGCGGTAAGGCCCATGTGCCCGTGGGCCCCCAAGTCCTGGGGGTCGTGCGTGTCCGTCTCCAGACCTCAGGGCCTCGTGTCTCTCCATCGATTGTAATGTTCAGCTCTTTGTGTCTCACATTCTCTCTCTGTGGGGCTCCTCATTGCCTCTGATTTCTGAATCTCCACATCCCGGCTCTCCTGTTTCTGCAGGGGGCTCATGTCTCTTGTTCTTAAAGATTCTTTCCACTTTTCTGAGTGTGCACGTCCCTAGTTTTCCAACCTCTGTCTTCACTCTGAATCACCACCTTCTGCAACTTCACCTCCTGCTTGGATGTGGAGCCCTGGTGAGTCTCTAGGGTCCCCAGCCACTGCTCCTTGACCCTCCTCTGATATGTGTATGTACGTCCCCATGTCTTGGCCTCTGTGGGAGCCTGTTCTCTCAAGGCGGGCCCTGACTTTGCCTGCCCGCCCTGACATCCCTCTTCCTAACAGGGGGGACTCAGGCTCCTCATCCAGGAGTCTGTGTGGGGCGAGACGATGAGGCGGCTCCAGGAGCGGATGGCGCGGCTTCGGGGCGGTCGAGGACTTGATGGGGCCATGGACATGGGGACTCGAGAGGCTGCCGCACGTGACCTGGCCCAGCGCTATGTGAGTGAGGCCCGGAGTCAGGGTGCACAGGTGAGCAAGGGGCACAGACTCCAGGGTGCCAGGGGAGGAGAGACCTGGAGACCTGACTCCTGGGTCTGAGGGAGGAGAGATTGGGCCTGGGTCTCAGGAAGGAGGGACTGGGGGCCTGGACTCCTGGGTCTGAGGGAGGAGAGACTGGGCCTGGGCTCCTGGGTCTGAGGGAGGAAGGGGGCTGGGGGCCTGGACTCCTGGGTCTGAGGGAGGAGAGATTGGGCCTGGGCTCCTGGGTCTCAGGAAGGAGGGACTGGGGGCCTGGACTCCTGGGTCTGAGGGAGGAGAGACTGGGCCTGGGCTCCTGGGTCTGAGGGAGGAAGGGGGCTGGGGGCCTGGACTCCTGGGTCTGAGGGAGGAGAGATTGGGCCTGGGCTCCTGGGTCTCAGGAAGGAGGGACTGGGGGCCTGGACTCCTGGGTCTGAGGGAGGAGAGACTGGGCCTGGGCTCCTGGGTCTGAGGGAGGAAGGGGGCTGGGGGCCTGGACTCCTGGGTCTGAGGGAGGAGGCAGCTGGGGGCGAGGACTCCTGGGTCTGAGGGAGGAGGGGCTAGAAGTGAACTTGCCAATCTGTTTCTTTCTCTTCAGGTTTTTCAGGCTGGTGACAGCCTATTCTTCCCCCCAACTTTGGTCTCTGACCTGCCCCCGGCTTCCCCATGTACCCAGGCAGAGGTGAGCCCTCTAGGGCCCTGGAGATCCCATTCTGTCCACCCATCTGCAGCCAGACCTGAGCAGCAACGCTACGCCTGCAGAGGCCCCAGTGGGGTGACCACTGGGTCTGGGTTTGGGCACTGCTAACTGTTGTAGGCTGCTCCCCTAATGGCTGGGATGTTGGAGAGAGGAGCTGGCCAGGCCACCTGAGTTCCACCATCCCCCTTCCAGGTGCCCTGGCCCGTGGTCGTGGCCTCCCCATTCCGTACAGCTAAGGAGGCCCTGGCCATGGCCAACGGGACGCCCCGAGGAGCCAGTGCCAGTGTGTGGAGCGAGAGACTAGGGCAGGCCCTGGAGCTGGGCTGTGGGTCAGTCGGCACCTGCTGGGGCACAGGAGGCAGCCTGTTGGGGGGGCCCAAGCTTCTGCTCTTCCTCTCAGTCTTGAGGCCTCCATCCCTCTCTCTCCGGGTCTCTGCCCACCCACCCCACCTCTCCGACTCCCGGCCCCCTGTGACTTGGCGTTCTTGCTCACATCCCCTCCTCTCCCCGCAGGCTCCGGGTGGGCACGGTCTGGATCAACGCCCACGGCCTGCGAGACACTGAAGTGCCCACGGGTGGCTGCAGGGAGAGTGGGTCTTCCTGGCACGGGGGCCCCGACGTGAGTGCACCCCTCCTCCGCCCTGTCATCACCCCCTTCAGCCACCTTGTGCCCTTTTTTTTTTTTAAAGGGAAAGGTGCTGCATTTTTTTTTAATGTTTTTTTTTTTAATTTAATTTTTTTTTATTTTTATTTTATTTTTTTTATTTATTCATGAGAGTCAGAGAGAGAGAGAGAGAGAGGCAGAGGCAGAGGGAGAGAAGCAGGCTCCCCGCCCAGCAGGGAGCCCGATGCGGGACTCGATCCCAGGACCCCGGGATCATGACCTGAGCCGAAGGCAGTCGCTTAACCATCTGAGCCACCCAGGCGCCCCACCTTGTGCTCTGTTGACACTGCTCCTCTTCCAGGGTCTGTATGAGTACCTGCGGCCCTCAGGGACCCCCGCCAGGCTGTCTTACTTTTCTGAGAATCTGAACTATGACACTTTTGGCCTTGCCGTCCCCTCAACCCTGCCAGCTGGACCCGAAATAGGACCCAGGTGAGCTGTGCCAGGGTCTGCAACTGTGAGAATCCCTGGGGGTGTGGAAGGGGAGAAGGAAAGTTGTGGCAGGCTCCCCGTGGACTGTGGGGAGGCAGTCATTAGAGCTATCTCGAGGGGTCCCGGGTGCTGCCCAGAATTGCATTCTGGGTCTTGTGGCGCCACACCCAGCCCCTATGCCTAAGGAGAGTCTCAGTCCTGTTAAATGAAGGACTGTGCTCTCCCAGAGGCTCAGTGGGGTGGAGCGTGGGGTCTGAGTGGACCTGGCCCCGGGACCCACCCCCACGCCTCACCCTGCTCCAGCCCAGCAACCCCTTATGGGCTCTTCATCGGCGGCCGTTTCCAAGCTCCTGGGGCCCGGAGCTCCAGACCCATCAAGAATTCACAAGGCAATCTCCACGGCTATGTGGCTGAGGGTGGAGCCAAGGATATCCGAGGGGCTGTGGAGGCCGCTCACCAGGCTGCCCCTGGGTAAGGGGAATCATGTGGGAAAACCCAGAGGTCATGGGGCATTAGAGAGGGTGGTCTGAGACCCCCACAGGCTGATGGTGTGTGGGGTCTGGGTCCCGAGGACCAGTGGGTTATGAAGTCTGAGCTCCCAAGGTTGATGGGATTCGGGTCACCCCCCCCACTCCCCTCCCCAGGCAGACGGGCCATGGGGCCTGGAGCCCCATCATAGGGGCTGCCGATAGAGGAAGGACATCTGGAAAGGGCCAGGACCAGGAAGCCGACTCCTGATTTGCACTGTGTCTCCCCACACACACAGCTGGGTGGGTCAGTCACCAGGGGCCCGGGCAACTCTGCTGTGGGCCCTGGCAACTGCCCTGGAGCGCCGGGAGTCTGCCCTCGCCTCGAGGCTGGAGAGGCACGGCATGGAGCTCAAGGACGCCAAGGTGGAGGTAGAGCTGAGTGCGAGGCAGCTTCGGGCATGGGGCGCCCGTGCCCAGGCCCAAGGCCATGTCTTGCAGGTGAGAGGGTTCGGTGGGCCGGCAGACAGCTTGGACAGCCTGGGGTAGGGGTTAGAGCAAGGATTTGGGAGTGAGCCAGACTTGGGGAGAGAGAAAGCGAGAGCGAGCGCGCATGAGCGGTAGGGCAGAGGGAGAGAGAATCTCAAGCAGGCTCTGTACTGAGAGCGTGGAGCCTGAGACGGAGCTGAGTCTCACGACCCTGAGATCATGACCTGAGCCTAAACCAAGAGTCAGACGCTCAATCAGCTGAGCCACCCAGGCACCCCTAATTCCTAGGTTTTAATCTGAGAACATAAAAGCACGTATCCATACAAGGATTTACATCCAAATTTTATAGCAGCATTATTCATAGTAGCTGAAAACTGGAAACAATCTAGCAGCGCCTGGCTGGCTCAGTTAGTAGTGCATGTGACTCTGGAACTCTGGGGGAGTGAGTTTGAGTCGCATGTTGGGCGTGGAGTTTATTTTTAAAACAAATAAATACATAAATAAAATAAAAGATGGAAGTAATCCAAACATCCTTTGATAGGTTAATAGATAAAGTGTGCTACACCCATAACAGTAGACTCCTACTCAGCATTCAGGAGCGAACAGGCTATTCCGTGGATGAATCTCAAAAGGACTATGCTGAGTGAAAGAAGCCAAATAAAAAAAAAATAGTGGAGACTATATGATTCTGTATCTAGAAAATTCTAGAAAATACAAACTAATCTGTAGTGAGCGGGCGCAGATCAGTGGTTGAGGACAGAGAGGGTTCAGATAGAGTCAGGTGGGAAGGATCACTAAGGGGCACAAGGAGATTTTGTGGAGTGAAGTTCATTATCTTGATTGTGGTGACAGTTTCACCAATATGTATAGATGTCCAAACCTACCGAATTGGGGGCATCAGGCTGGCTCAGTCAGTAGAGCATAAAACTGTTGATCTCAGGGTCGCAAGTTCAAGCCCCATGTTGGGCACAGAGTTACTTTAAAAAAAAAAAAATTATCAAAGTGTACTCTTTTAAAATGCATGCAGCTTGGTAAATGTCAATTATATTCAATAAAGTTTTAAAAAAAAATTAGGGCGCCTGGGTGGCTCAGTTGGTTAGGCGACTGCCTTCGGCTCAGGTCATGATCCTGGAGTCCCGGGATCGAGTCCTGCGTCGGGCTCCCTGCTCAGCAGGGAGTCTGCTTCTCCCTCTCCCGCTCCCCCTCTTGTGCTCTTTCTCTCACTCTCTCTCTCAAATAAATAAATAAAATTAAAAAAAAAAAATTATACACACATGCACACAGAGACAAACCCACCAGCTAGGTTCTAAGCCCTCTACACGCAGTAACTTACTTCGTTTTAACAACAAACCTCTGAGGTAAGCATCATTAGCCTCGTTTGAAAGATGGGAAACTGAGGCCCAGAGAGGTTAAGTACGGTCACACCCAAGGTCACACAGCTGATGAGTGGCGGAGCCACCAACAGTCTGGCTCGAGTCTGCTCTGCACTATCACCTGATGAATCCTCTTTGGAGTTGTTATAGAGAAGCAGAGGTGGGGAGAGGAGGAAAGGGGCAGATGATGAGGCTCCTGTGCCCGGCCCTTGACTTCCTGCCTGTGCCCACAGGTGGCAGAGCTGAAAGGCCCCGTCCTCCGGCTACGGGAGCCGCTGGGCGTGCTGGCCATTGTGTGCCCTAACGAATGGCCCCTGCTTGCCTTCGTGTCCCTGCTGGCCGCCGCACTGGCCCACGGCAACGCGGTGGTCATGGTGCCCAGCGGAGCCTGTCCCATCCCTGCCCTGGAGGTCTGCCAGGTACAGTTGTCTGCCTTCCTGCTACTGCTTCCCGAAGCCCCTGGGCCAGAAGATGGATGGAAGGTGCCCCGGGACCTGCACTTGACCCACCCCCTTGGTAACCATGGTAACCCCAGTCCCCACCCCCACCCCCAGTCCCAGCCTGCACTGCTCATGGACCCCGGGACCATTCTGTCCAGGCCTTGAGCGTTGGCCAGTCATGACCCGGGTCCCATTCCTTCCAGGAGCCCCAAGGGTCCTCCCCAGATGCTCACTCCTCACCCAGCCTGTTGCTTGCGGGGTCTCTGACGCCCTTTCTGCCCAATCCTCTCTGCCGTCCCCTAGGATATGGCCGCCTTGTTGCCAGCAGGCCTGGTGAATGTGGTGACCGGCGACCGGGACCACCTGACCCGCTGCCTGGCCTTGCACCAGGACGTCCAGGCCCTGTGGTACTTCGGATCTGCCCAGGTACCCTTTGTTTTGCTGTCTCTTCAGCATCTCAAACCTCACCGACAGCCTCGTCCTTTTCTAGAACCAGGGCAGTGCCCCCTAGAGCTTCCGTTGCTAGGGAGGAGAGACTCTTTGGCAACCAGGTTCTGAGATCCTGCCCCTTTAGATCCCCGGTTGCTAAGGAAGGGGATCTCCTTAGCATAGCAGCGAGGGCCTCCTATCCCGCCCGGCCCAAGACCTCATCTCACTGGACAACCCGTTGCTAAGGACCACACCCTGGTAGCCGAACCAGAGGCCCGCAGTCCACCCTCCTGATGGTAACAGGGGAACTCCTTGTCACCAAGAACATCAGGCCCCATTCCTTTGAACGTGGGCTGTTAATGGGGAGGAAATCCCCTAGCCACAAAGGTCAGCCTTGTTTCCCTCAGTATCTAGAAGGTCGGCCGACTACAGATTGAGCATTGTAGCAACAGAGCCTAGGTCAAGCCGGCAGGCCCCTCAGTAATAGTCCTTGTTGCCAAGGAAACACCTGCTTGGCGACCAAGCTGATGGAAGTGCTGATCCCCCTCTTCTCATGCCAGGGCTCCCAGTTTGTGGAGTGGGCCTCAGCAGGAAACCTGAAGCCGGTGTGGGTGAACCGGGGCTGCCCTCGGGCCTGGGATCAGGAGGCCAAGGGGGCAGGCGCAGAGCTGGGGCTGCGGGCAGCACGGACCAAGGCCCTGTGGCTGCCCATGGGGGACTGATGCCCAAGTGCCACCCGCTGCATCTTGGCCAGAGGAGAGATGGACCCTGACAGACACCAGAAGCCTAGAACTTTGTTTTATTATGACTCCCATGCCCTCCAATAAACTCTGACCAACCTTGGCTGTGCTTCTGAGGGGAGGAAGTCGGGGAGTAGCAACTTCTGGTCTGCTTGAGCTCATCCGAGTTCTGAGACTCAGCAGCCAGGTGGGCTGGCTCCAGTACAACACAGTGTTTGTGAAACAGATAAAGGGAACTCCGAGAAGCCCTGGGCAGGGGCCCAGGGCCTCTTGTTTCCCCCCTGGTCTTCTCCATCCTGAGGCTCTCGCTCTTTGACTTTCTCTGCCAAGGCGTTGTTTCAGGATCTGTGGTGTGCTGGTATAAAATAAAGCACAATGGCTCTCTGCAGTAAAATAAAGGCCCTGGTAGGTAACATTTGCCAATTCCATGGTGTAAATGCTCCCACCATGTCAGGTTTCCAGCTCTAGATGAGTGAACAACAAACAGGCTGATAGAATTCCTGAATTTTTTTTTTTTTAAAGATTTTATTCATTTATTTGACAGAGAGAGAGAGAACAAGTAGGCAGAGAGGCAGGCAGAGGGAGAGGGAGAAGCAGGCTTCCCGCTGAGCGGGGAGCCCGACGCGGGGCTTGATCCCAGGACCCTGGGATCATGACCTGAGCCGAAGGCAGTGGCTTAACCAACTGAGCCACCCAGGCGCTCCGAATTCCTGAATTTTTTTTTTTTTAAAGATTTTATTTATTTATTTATTTGACAGAGAGAGACACAGCGAGAGAGGGAACACAAGCAGGGGGAGTGGGAGAGGGAGAAGCAGGCTCCCCGCAGAGCAGGGAGCCCGATGCGGGACTCGATCCCAGGACCCTGGGATCATGACCTGAGCTGAAGGCAGTCGCTTAACCAACTGAGCCACCCAGGCGCCCCGAATTCCTGAATTTTTAACAGTCCATTCCCAGGAGCCAATCTGAGCGGCTCCAGCACACCCCCATTTTAGAATCCTTTTGGATGCCAGGAACCCATTCACACTAGCTTAGGATAAGAGGGAAATTTCTGGAAGGCTACAGAGACCTCTTACAGAAAACAGGGCAAGACATGCATCTGAGGGGCCCCAGGTCCTGAGAACCCAAAAGTAGGCAAGAACCAGGACCGGTCCTTTCTCTGTGGGCATGTGACTTCTTGGGTCTTTCTTTCCTTCTTCCTTTTCTTTTTCTTTCTTTCTCTTTGATCTCTGGGGCTTTTCTTTAATTTTCTTTTCTTTTGTAATATATATACCCAACATGGGGCTCGAACTCATGACCCCGAGATCGAGGGTCGGATGCTCCATCGACTGAGCCAGCCAGGCGCCCCATCTCTGGAGTTTTCTATCCCTACCTGCACCTCTTTCAGCGATGTGACTTTAGGAAAGTTTCTTCACTGCTCTGAGCCTGTTTCCTCATCTGTAAAATGGGACTGATAGTTCCAACCAGACTGGTTGATTCGATGGGTACACGGGACACGCTTTATGACTGTTCGCTGTTCATTAGAGATTGATTCTGTCGTGAGGCAAATGAGAATAGGCAGCCAGCCTCCTGTCAGGATCTGACTAAGGCTGGGCGGAATAATTACCTCTCCCAGGATCTGGACTTCTGGAGAGGAAAGACAAGAATGAGAGAGCTGGAGGAAAGTCCCTGGAAGGCTCTAGTTCCTGTCTGTGGCTTGACGGTTCCTTGCAGGATTCCATGGGCTGCCTCTGTGTCCTTCTGTTGCTTTAACCGGCCAAAGGCAACAGCCAGCCGGGTGCACACGCCCCCCAGCCCGGAACAGAGGCAAGTGTCCGTCTGGTTCCAGGGAGAGGAAATCTGATTGGCCAGCCTGGGTCAGGCCTCTGCCTCTGAGCCAATCATCTCTGCCGGGGGGGGCGGAGCTCCTGGCCTGTGCAGCGGTCCAGTCCGGAGCAGATACCCACTGAGCGCTCGCTGTGAGTGAGGTGCTGTTCTAGGTGCTGGGGAGGCAGCCGGGAGCAAGACCACCTGGCCTCAGGAGCCGATGTGCTGGAGGGCGACAGGTGTATTAGGCTCCTGTCGCTGCTATAACAAAGTTGGTGGCTTAAGTAAAACAACACAAATGCATTATCTTTCAGTCCTGGACGTCAGACAACGAAATGGGTGTCACTGAGCGAAAATCAAGGTGTCAGCAGGGCTGCATTCCTATCTGGAGCCCAAGGGGAGAATTGCTTTCCATGGCACTTGACCTGCACCACTCTTTTTTTTTTTTTTTAAGAATTTATTTGACAGAGAGCACCAGCAAGGGGGGGGCGGGGCAAAAGGGACAGAGGGAGAAGCAGGCTCCCTGTTGAGCAGGGAGCCCGGATGCAGGCTCGATCCCAGTACTCCGGGACCATGACCTGAGCTGAAGGCAGACACTTAACGACTGAGCCACCCAGGCACCCCCCTGCATCACTCTTCATTGCCAGCGGTGGCCACTCAGGTCTTTCATAGCATCGCTCTGACTGTGATCCTCTCGCCTCCCTCTTTCACTTACAGACACCTCTGTGATGACATTGGACCCACTCAACCCACAATAATCTCCCCATCTCAAGATAATTAACTAAGTTGTATCTGCAGAGGCTCTTTGGCCATGTGAGGGAACATTGACAGGTTCCAGTGGACGTCTTGAGGGGCCATTATTCTGCCCACCGCAAGAGGGGACAGATTGAAAACAAGTGAACAATCGAGAAACATCTGTTCAGTGGGACAAGGGAGCTAAACCAGGCTGAACAGGAAGTGAAGCAAACAGGGCAGGGAGCAGAGATGGATGGTATAACAGGATGGGTGAGGTTTTGCTGCAGTAACAACCCCCAAACTTCTGTGGTTGATAACCACAAAGTTCATTTCTTGCTCACACTACTTGTCCATCGGGGGTGGCAGGGGCCCTCTGTTCATCAGAGCCATGCAGGGACCTGGGCGGATGGAGCCCTGATTCAACATGGCTTTTGCCATTAGAGATTCACTCCCTGCCCCATTAATCCTCACCCAGAAGTGACACTTGTCACTGTCACTCTCATTGGTCAAAGTGAGTCGTGACCATGCCTGAGTCACACAAGGTGGGGTCCTGGACTCCTGCAGGGAAGGACTGCCAGTGGATGGGGTGATCAAGAAAGAGATTCAGAGAAGCACAAATGTGGAAGGGACCTTATATTTTCTCATTTACCACCTCAGCCCCCAGTTTGGAGTTGAAGAAATTGAGGCTTAGTGAGGATAAGGGGCTGGCCAAGCTCCCACAGTGACCCAGCCAGGGTCAGAAGCAACACTTGCCAGGCCTGATGCAACAAGATCTATCCCCTGGGTCCTCTTGCGTGCCTGGCCCTGGCAGGGCACAGCTGGAAGCCCAAAGAAAGGTCAGACCCAGCATTGCAACAAGCCCCCAGCCTGTGCCAGGGAGACCCATAATCTGTGCAACTATGGAGGGGACACAGGACATTGGGGGACCCAGAGGAGGCCTCGTGCCAGGCTGGATTTGGAGCTGAGGATTGAGGATCTTATCAAGGGTTTTGGTCGGGGGGAAAGGGAGGAGATAAAGAGAAAGTGGGCTGGGGGGGGGGCGCAGAAGGGCTGGAAATTTGTCCTAAGGGCAATAGGGAGCCACAGAAGGTGTGTGAGCAGAGAGGTAGGCTCAGCTCTGGCTAGAAGACAGATATAAGCTAAGGTGTCATGTACTATAATAACAGAGGAAACTCGGGGCACCCAGAGATGGCACCCTACCCAACATGAGTGTGTATGTGTGAGGGAGGGAAAGAGGGTGGTGGCTACCTTCCCAAGGAAGGTGCCATAGGTATTGAGGATTTTTTCCAGCTTTATTAAGGTGTGATTGACAAGTAAAGATTATACATATTTTAGATGTACAACATGATTTTTAAGTGTACAAAACGTGATGACTTAATATACCTATACATTGTAAAATAGTTACCATAATCAAGTTAATGAACACATCCATCCCTACACAGTTACCTTTTTGTGCATGATGAGAACACTTAAGATCCACTCTCTTAGCTCAATCAAACTGGAAACAAAAATCAGATATATCCAAAAGCAAAACAAAGACAAACTTTTAGGAAATTTCATATATACAATACAGTATTGATTTTTTTGTTTTGTTTAGAGATTTTTTTTTTTTTTTTGAGAGAGAGAGAGAGGGAGGGAGCAGGGGCAGAGGAGACGGAGAGAGAGAATCCCAAGCAGGCTCCACACCCAGTGCAGAGCCCGACGCAGGGCTCGATCCCAAGACCCTGAGATCATGACCTGAGCTGAAATCAAGAGTTGGATGCTTAACCAACTGAGCCACACAGGCGCCCCAATACAGTATTGTTATTTATAGTCACCATGCTATACATTGGATCCTCAGAACTTACTTTGTGCTTTTTGACCAACATCTCCCCATTTCCCCTACACACACACACACACACACACACACACACGTCCCAGCTCCTGGCAACCACCGTTCTACTCTCTGGTTCTGTGAATTGACTTTTTTAGATTCCACTTATAATGATACCCTACGATATTCATCTTTCTCTGTCTGGCTTATTTCACTTAGCATCACATCCTCCAGATGTATCCATATTGTTGCAAACAGCAGGATTTCCTTCTTGTTATGGCTGAATGGTATTCTATTGTGTGTGTATACCACATTTTCTTTTTCCATTCACCCATCCATCAGCAGACACTTAAGTCTGATCTTGCTACTGTGAATAAGGCTGCAGTGAGCAACGAGGTACCTCTTTGAGAGACTGATTTCATTTCCTTGGGACAAATATCTAGAAGTGGGATTGCTGCATCATATGGTAGTTCTATTATTTTATATTATGTTTTTTGATGAAACTTCATACCATTTTCCATAGTGGCTGCACCAGGTTACATTCCCACCAGCAGACGCTTAACCGACTGAGCCACCCAGGCACCCCAACACTTCAGTCTCTTTGATGATGGCCATCTTAACTGGTGTGAGGTGATATCTCATTGTGGTTGTGATTTGCGTCTCCCTGATGATGAGTGAGTGCACTGAATCTTGAAGGACCATGAGGATCTGATGTGGCTGGAGAGCATCCCAGGCAGAGGGTACAGCATGTGCAAAGGCCCAGAGGTAGGAAACAGCCTGGCGGGAACTTAGTGGTTTGAATGGTCATCCAGCCCCCAAAAGATACGTCCCCGTCCTCACCCCTGGAACCTATGAATGTGGTGACCTTATTTGGAAAAACAGTCCTTGCAGATATAATAAAGTTAAGGCTCTCGAGCTAAGATCATCCTGGATTATCCAAGTGGGCCCGACATCTAATGACAAGTGTCGTAAGAGACACCCAGAGGAGAGACGCTTCTAGAGAAGAAGGCCAGGTGAAGACAGAGTCAGGGATGGAGTTACGCAGATACAAGTCAAGGACCCTTGGAGACCCCCAGAAGTTACGCTTAGCCCACACATCCAAGGTGGAGGTGAGGAGGCTGTGTCGGAAGGAGCAGTCTCCCAGGCAGGGGCAGAACAGCCGCAGGGGTAGGGAGGTCTGTGTGCATGGCTCGGGGTGGGGGCGCCCTCTGTTGGCTCCACACGCACCCCTCACCTGCCCTTCCCCCGCCCCGGCCCCCTTCTGTCTCTCCCTTTCCAGGTCCCATTCCACTCCGTCCAGTGCTCGGCCCTCCTCCTTCTGGCGCCTCTGTCCATCTCGGACGGGCCTTCCCCATTCAAGGCGAGGATGAAGGCCCCAGGCTGGCCTCCTCCTTGCCCTGTGGGCATTGCTTCCGGCTGGAGGCAGCTCCCCCTTCGTCGTGTGTCCCGGCTTCGACCCAGCTCAGGGCTCTGGGGTCGCGAGTCCAGCGGAGTCGCCCTCAGCGGCGTGAGCCATCACCTGCCACCACCAGGTGGCGCCTCTTGCCTCAGCCAGATCCACCCCAGCTCACTGTCGCCCCCCAAAATTTCCTTTCGCTTTCGATCTCTGGCTGTCACCCGGCCTGGCCCCTTCCACGCCCAGCCGGGGCAAGCCTGGTGCGTGAGGAGAAATGGACTCCGGGTCCCCGAGGGGCGGGGCTGGGGTCCCCCTCCTGGCTGAGGGAGGGTCCCTGGCCTGGGGAGGGTTCCGGGGACCGGACGTCGGGGTTCTTAGAAGGGGAGATGAGTTTTCACCGTAACCGGGGCTCACGCAGGAAGCCCGAGGGAGTAGGAGGCGGAAACTTAGCCACATCAAGGAGCCAAGGGAGGGGTGGGGAGGTGAAGGGGCGGGTGAGGAAGGGGCTGGGGTGTGAGGGTCTGAGACTCCCTCTTCTGTCCCTTCCAAGATCTGGCCATAGGCATGAGGGGCCTCCGGCCGAGATGATAGTGCTGGCGCCAGCCTGGAGCCCAACTGTGCGTATACCTGGGGGACAAGCTGGGGGAAAGGCAGAGCAGTACCAAGATGGGCAGAGGTGGGGGACAGGGACAGGGGTAAGGGAGAGATGGACAGGGGTGGGGGACCTGCACAAGGTAGGGAAACATGCACAGAACATATACAGGAGTGAGGACATGGGCAGGAGTGGGGGACAAGGGCAGGGGTAGGGGACATGGGCAGGAGTGGGGACATTGGCAAGAGTGAGGGACATGGGCAGGGGTGGAAGACATGGACAGAGGTGGGGGACATGGACAGAGGTAGGGGATATGAGCAGGGAGGGGTGAGGACACGGGCAGGGGTGGGGGACATGGACAGAGGAGGGGGACACGGGCAGGGGTGGGGGACATGGACAGAGGAGGAGGACACAGACGGGTTGGGGATGTGGGCAGAGGACGGGGACATGGGCAGGGGTGGGGGACAGGGGCAGGGGTAAGGGAGAGATGGACAGGGGTGGGGGACCTGCACAAGATAGGGGAACATGCACAGAACATATACAGGAGTGAGGACATGGGCAGGAGTGGGGGACAAGGGCAGGGGTAGGGGACATGGGCAGGAGTGAGGGACATGGGCAGGAGTGAGGGACATGGGCAGGGGTGGAAGACATGGACAGAGGTGGGGGACATGGACAGAGGTAGGGGATATGAGCAGGGAGGGGTGGGGACATGGGCAGGGGTGGGGGATATGGGCAGGGGTGAGGGACATGGACAGAGGAGGGGGACACGGGCAGGGGTGGGGGACATGGACAGAGGAGGGGGACAGGGGCAGGGGTGGGGGGTGTGGGCAGAGGATGGGGACATGGGTAGGGGTGGGGGACAGGGGCAGGGGCAGGGGTGAGGACATTGGCAAGAGTGCGGGACATGGGCAGGGGTGGAAGACATGGACAGAGGTGGGGGACATGGACAGAGGTAGGGGATGTGAGCAGGGAGGGGTGGGGACATGGGCAGGGGTGGGGGACATGGACAGGGGTGCGGGATATGGGCAGGGGTGGGGGACATGGACAGAGGAGGGGGACACGGGCAGGGGTGGGGGACATGAACAGAGGAGGAGAACACGGACAGGGGTTGGGGACGGGCAGGGGTGGGGGATGTGGGTAGAGGACGGGGACATGGGCAGGGGTGGGGGACATGGGCAGGGGTGGAGGACAGGGGCAGGGGTGAGGGACATGGGCAGAGGAGGGGGACACGGGCAGGGGTGGGGGACATGAACAGAGGAGGAGAACACGGACAGGGGTTGGGGACGGGCAGGGGTGGGGGATGTGGGCAGAGGAGGGGACATGGGCAGGGGTGGGGGGCAGGGGCAGGGGTGGGGGCAGGGGCAGGGGTGGGGATGTGGGCAGGGGTGGGGGACAATGGGGAAGGCAGGGCCCAGGTGGAGGCAGAAGCGGGAGGGAGGAACAGAGAGGGACGCGAGGTGAGCAGGAGCCGAGCCTTGGGCGCAGCTGGGACCCGGGCAGAGCGGCCAGGAAGGGCAGCCGAGGGCACACCAGGGAAGGCGGTCCTGGATGGACACAGGAGCCAGGAGGAGGGCTGAGCCCTGGGCCAGAGGCAGTGCGACCTGGACAGGGAGAGAGGGGCGAGAGACGCGTGGGGCGGGGGCCCGGGGAGGGGTGCTCGGGGAGCCGACAGAGGGCGCCCCGCACCCTGTGTCGCGCCCACAGAGCTCCCTGCTGCTCCTGCTGCTGCTCAGCCCCGGCCTCCGCGGGACCCCCGACTGCTCCTTCAGTCACAGCCCCGTCTCCTCCACCTTTGCGCTCACCATCCGCAAGCTGGTGAGGGCCCTGCCCCTTCCTCCCCGCGGCGCCTTTCTGAGGCCCAGGTTCCGTCACTGGGGCTGAGCCACCCGTCGAGGTGTCCTTTGGGGCTCGCCGTCCCCCTCCCTCTGGGTCCCTGTCCCCCTCCCTCTGGGTCCCTGTCCCCCTCCCTCTGGGTCCCTGTCCTCCCTCTCTGGCTCGCGGTCTCCCTCTCTCTGGCTCACTGTCCCCCTCCCTCTGGGTCCCTGTCCCCCTCCCTCTGGCTCACTGTCCCCCTCCCTCTGGGTCCCTGTCCTCCCTCTCTGGCTCGCGGTCTCCCTCTCTCTGGCTCACTGTCCCCCTCCCTCTGGGTCCCTGTCCCCCTCCCTCTGGGTCCCTGTCCCCCTCCCTCTGGGTCCCTGTCCTCCCTCTCTGGCTCGCGGTCTCCCTCCCTCTGGGTCCCTGTCCCCCTCCCTCTGGGTCCCTGTCCTCCCTCTCTGGCTCGCGGTCTCCCTCTCTCTGGCTCACTGTCCCCCTCCCTCTGGGTCCCTGTCCCCCTCCCTCTGGGTCCCTGTCCCCCTCCCTCTGGGTCCCTGTCCTCCCTCTCTGGCTCGCGGTCTCCCTCTCTCTGGCTCACTGTCCCCCTCCCTCTGGGTCCCTGTCCCCCTCCCTCTGGGTCCCTGTCCCCCTCCCTCTGGGTCCCTGTCCTCCCTCTCTGGCTCGCGGTCTCCCTCTCTCTGGCTCACTGTCCCCCTCCCTCTGGGTCCCTGTCCCCCTCCCTCTGGGTCCCTGTCCCCCTCCCTCTGGGTCCCTGTCCTCCCTCTCTGGCTCGCGGTCTCCCTCTCTCTGGCTCACTGTCCCCCTCCCTCTGGGTCCCTGTCCCCCTCCCTCTGGGTCCCTGTCCCCCTCCCTCTGGGTCCCTGTCCTCCCTCTCTGGCTCGCGGTCTCCCTCTCTCTGGCTCACTGTCCCCCTCCCTCTGGGTCCCTGTCCCCCTCCCTCTGGGTCCCTGTCCCCCTCCCTCTGGGTCCCTGTCCTCCCTCTCTGGCTCGCGGTCTCCCTCTCTCTGGCTCACTGTCCCCCTCTCTCTGGCTCACTGTCCCCCTCTCTCTGGCTCGCTGTCCCCCTCTCTCTGGGTCCCTCTCCCCCGCCCTCTGGATCTCCATAGTTCTGTTTCCTCCTGTCTTGGGCCAGGCCTGACCCTGTTTTCTCCCACAGTCTGATTACCTGCTTCAGGACTACCCAGTCACTGTCGCCTCCAACCTGCAGGACGTGAGTCACAGATGGGAGGGGCTGGGGCAGAGGTGGGAAGGACAGACCACCCCTCAGGGGACCAGTTGGCTGACCTGCCCCCTCCTCCCCGGGGGATGCAGGGCTCCCGGCCCCAGCCCCTCACCCTTCCAGCCCCCAGCCCCCTCTGCTGGCCGCCCCCCCAGCTTGGGTTGTCCCTCCCAGGACGAGCTCTGCGGAGCCTTCTGGCGCCTGGTCCTGGCCCAGCGCTGGATGGAACGGCTCAAAGCTGTGGCTGGGTCCCAGATGCAAATCCTGCTGGAGGCTGTCAACACGGAGATACACTTTGTCACCTTATGTGCCTTCCAGGTCAGCCCTGAACGTGGGGGACAAGCTAGGGGAGCGAGTTGCCTTCCTAGGGATTGGAAGCCAAGCTCTGCTAGGCCTTGCTGGAGATTTCTTTTGACTAGCAACCCAAGGGAGGTGGAGCTCCCTTGCTGGGGACCCCCTTGCTGAAAAGAGCACTTCTCTAGGCACGGAAGGAGGGCGGGGGTCCTGGGCCCAGTGCACCGATTCTGAGTTTATTTCTCAGGCCCTGTTGCTGGGCGCTGCAGAGGGGTTCTCTCCCCTAGCCACCTGGGGGGCAGGGGTCCAAACTCTCTCTCTGTGACCCAGGCCTCACGGGGCCCTGGTAGGCGTTGCCAGGCAGGGAGGGCCCTTGGCCTGAGCAGACTGTGGGGGTGATACCCTGGTGACATCTCCCTCCCCTGCCCCCAGCCCCTCCCGAGCTGTCTTCGCTTCGTCCAGACCAACGTCTCCCACCTCCTGCAGGACACCTCCAAGCAGCTGGCGGCCTTGAAGCCCTGGATCACCCGCAGGAACTTCTCTGGGTGCCTGCAGCTGCAGTGTCAGCCGGGTAACGGCCCCCAGCGCCCCTCAGCAGCCCCCCACCACCTCTCCCATCCCACAGCCCCTCACCCCCTCTGCCCAGGCCAGCCCAGACCCCACCCTGCTCCCACTGGCTGTGTGACTTTGGGCGTGTTCCCCCAAGTTCAGTCCTCTCTCTGGGCCTCAGTTTACCCATCTCTGACAAGGGAACAAGAATCCCTGCCTGTTTCTCCAAGGCAGCCCTGCCCGAAAGAAAGACAATGACAGTCACGTATGTAAGGGCAAATTCTCCAGTACCAAGATTTTTGAAATTTTGGTGTTTTGGGTTTTTTTAGTGCATTCACTTTTTTTCCCGGAATTTTCACATTCGTTATTTTTGTAGCAAATGATTGGTGGTTTTGTTTTTATTTTTATTTATTTTTTATTTTTTTAAAGATTTTATTTATTTATTTTGAGAGAGAGCGAATGAGAGAGAACACATGAGAGGGGATAGGGTCAGAGGGCAAAGCAGACTCCCAGCCGAGCAGGGAGCCCGATGCGGGCCTCGATCCCGGGACTCCAGGATCATGACCTGAGCCGAAGGCAGTCGCTTAACCAACTGAGCCACCCAGGCGCCCGGTGGTTTTGTTTTTAAAACGTTGTCTTTTGGAATAGTTTTAGATTCAAAGGAGGGTACAAAGAAATTGTATGGGGGGGGTCCTGGACAGCCTTTACCCAGCCTCCCCAGCCCCAGGGTTGCATTTTGCTTCCCGTTACTGACGGCACGATAGTAAAGCCAGAAATACGAGAGGGGTCCAGTCCGTGCGTATAATCCACAGAGTTTATTCCCATTTTACGAGTTGCGTGCTTGCTCGTTTCCTAGTGCTGCCGTAACAAAGTACCAGAAACTGGGTGATTGGAACAACAGACGTGGATTGTTTCACGATTCTGGAGGCCAGAAGTCTGAAATCCATGTGTGGGCAGGATGGGCTCCTTCTGAGGGCTCTGAGGGAAAGTTCTGTTCCAGGCTTCTCTCCTTGGCTTTGTCGATGGCCATTTTCACACTCGCATGGCCTTCTCCCTCTGTGCGTGCCTCCGTGTCCAGATTTCCCCTCTTTACAAGGACACCTGTCATGTGGGATGGGGGGCCCACCCTGATGACCTCATTTTAACTTGATTCTCTGTGTAACCCTATCTCCAAATAAGGTCGCATTCCAAGGTGGGGGGGTGGTTAGGATTCCCGTGTATGAATTTTGAGGGATGCAATTCGCTCCATAAAAGCGTATGTGTCTTTGCAATTTTTTCACCTGTGTGGCTTCTTGTGATCCCCGCCACAGTCAAACTACTTAACTTGACCCCCTTCTAATAATTCCCATCCTTAGCCCCTGGCAACCACGAATCTGTTCTTTATAATGACGTTAATGGACTTCATAATTTTAAAGTTATTCTTAATAGCTCATCATTGAGATCACAAATTTAGTTTAACCGAAATGTCTCCAAAGGAGTACTGTTTGAACATATACCCAATACTGTATTTTAGATTTAACATTATTATTATTTTTTTAATGCAATCCTATCCCCAACATGGGGCTCGAACTCACGACCCCGAGTTCAAGAGTTGCATGCTACACAGACCGAGCCAGCCAGGCACCCCCATGCTGTACTTTTTTTTAAGATTATTTATTTATTTATTTATTTGACAGAGAGAGAGACAGCAAGAGAGGGAACACAAGCAGGGGGAGTGGGAGAGGGAGAAGCAGGCTTCCCACCGAACAGGGAAACCACCGTGGGACTTGATCCCAGGACCCTGGGATCATGACCTGAGCTGAAGGCAGACGCCTAGTGACTGAGGCACCCAGGCACCCTATTTTTATTATTTTTTTAAGATTTATTTATTTATTTGAGAGAGAGAGAGAGTGCCCACACAAGCGGGAAGGGGCAGGGGGAGAGGGAGAGAGAATCTCAAGCAGACTCGGTGCTCAGCCCGGAGCCCCACTCGGGGCTCAATCTCATGCCCCAAGACCTAAGCCCAAACCAAGAGTGGGATGCTCAGCTGGCTGAGCCACCCAGGTGGACCCCTGATACTGTATTTTTAAAAATTAGTGAGATATTTTACATCCGTTTGTCCTCTAAGTCTCTGGGAACCAGTGTGTATTTTTTTTTTTTTTAAGGTTTTATTTATTTATTTGACAGAGAGAGACACAGCGAGAGAGGGAACACAAGCAGGGGGAGTGGGAGAGGGAGAAGCAGGCTTCCCGCCGAGCAGGGAGCCCGATGCGGGGCTGGATCCCAGGACCCTGGGATCATGACCTGAGCCGAAGGCAGACACTTAATGACTGAGCCACCCAGGCGCCCCAACCAGTGTGTATTTAACACTGAAAGCACATGGGGATTCAGACTCACCAGAGACCACGTGTCAATAGCCCCACGGGGCAAAAGGCTGCAGGATTGAACACAGCTCTAAAGGATCAATGAGAAATAATGTAATCAGAATATGATGAGAGACTATGCCCTGTGAAAACTTGATTTTTTCAGCATATTAAGGTTTACTTTGGGGCACCTGGGTGGCTCAGTCAGTTGGGCGTCTGCCTTCGGCTCAGGTCATGATCCCAGGGTCCTGGGATCAAGTCCCACAGTGGTCTCCTTGCTCCACGGGGAGCCTGCTTCTCCCTCTCCTGGTCCTCCATTCGTGCTCTCTCTCTCTCTCTACAATAAGTAAATTAAAAAAAAAAAAAAAAGGTTTACTTTGTGGCCAAGTACATTGCCAGTTTTGTAACTGACCCTGTCTTAGGAGGAAAAGAAAAAAATAGGTTAATTTTCTTGGCAGGATCAGGGTTGAATCTGTGTGTACATATTCTCCCCACCTTACTGTGGTATCATTCGGAGGCTTTCTGTCCTTGTATTTGTTACCAGATCTGTCGAGTTCTTTTTTTTTTTAGTAATCTCTACACCCAGCGTGGGGCTCAAACTCACGATCCTGAGATGAAGAATTGCATGCTCTACCGACTGAGCCAGCCAGGCGCCCCTGAGAGGGATATCTAAAAACCACCCCCTCTAATTTTCTCACTTTCTCCCCACACTTCCGATCATTTTGCCCTCTGTATTAAGCTTCATTGGTCATTTGTACTTACATTTATGACTCTTCATTCATTTGACCGCATTTTATTAGCTACCTCCTGGGTGCTTGGCATTGTCAACACAGCTCAGAACAAGATCCAAGTGCTTGTACATGTGGGGCTGACATGCTAATTGAGGCGACAGACAATAAACGTGAGCAAATAATTAACAGGAAAATATCTGAGGGTAATGAGCCCCATGCAGGCAAATTACAACAGGGTGATGGAATCATGGTGTGAGGTGGGTGGCTGGAGAGGTACTGAGAGTTGGGAACAAGAGAACAGCCTGTGCAAAGGCCCTGAGGCAGAAGCCTGTTTAAGGAACAGTGAAGAGACACATGTGCCGGGAGTCCAGCAAGCAAGGGGAAAAGAGAGCAGCTGGGTGAGGGTATAGAGGGAACACAATTGGGGGGGATCTTTGACTATTTTATTATTTGTCAATTTGTCATTTGGTCAAATATTTAATGTATGGGCGCCTGGGTGGCTCAGTTGGTTAAGCGACTGCCTTCGGCTCAGGTCATGATCCCAGGGTCCTGGGATCAAGTCCCGCATCGGGCTCCCTGCTCTGCAGGGAGCCTGCTTCTCCCTCTCCCACTCCCCCTGCTTGTATTCCCTCTCTCGCTGTGTGTCTCTCTCTGTCAAATAAATAAATAAATCTTTAAAAATATATATTTAATGTATGAAATTGAGCTATTATAATATTATTTAACTAGTGCTAAGTAGTAGGTTCTGCCAATAAAAAAGACAGAGAAGGTCCCTGGTGCCCACAGGGAGCTCACAGCCCACGGGAGGAAAAAGAAGAATAAACAAATCGATATATGAGCGCTAGCAATCTATGTGTCCAATGGTAATAGAAAATGCAAACTGACCAGGTGCCATGCTGTTCTAAGAACTTCCTGTGTGGTCCCTCATTTAATTTTTGTGACCACCTTATGCGGCAGGTATAATGAATATCCCCATTTTACAGGTGAGAAGACTGAGGTACAGAGAGGTGGGCGGCCCACCTGAGGTCACACAGCCAGCACCAGGCCTGCTTTTGTTTCCTTCCCTTCTCTGGTCCAGCCCTTCTCCTTGGTCACCCAGCCTCCTCTCTCCCCTCAGACTCTTCCACGCTGCTGCCCCCAAGGAGCCCCGGGGCCTTGGAGGCCACAGCCCTGCTGGCCCCCCAGGCCCCTCTGCTGCTCCTCGTGTTGCTGCTGCCCGTGGGTCTCCTGCTGATGTCCGCTGCCGGGTGCCTGCACTGGCGAAGGAGGGGGTGGAGGACGCCCTACCCTGGGGAGCAGGTGAGTCTGGAGGTGGACAGAGGGCATGGGGAGGTCTGCAGGGGTGGCGCTGGCCCTGTGGTGACCACAGGTGACCTGCACCTCCAGTCTCCAGGACGGGCTGCCCCTGTGGCTCGTGGAGCTTGGCGAATCCTTCACCAGGCTGAGAACCCTGGACTTTGTTGGGAGGGGGGTGGAAGGGGGCTGGGGTCATGAGGGGGGACAGCCTGGAGGCTGGGTGAGGGTCCAGGGAGAGAGGACAAGGCCTGAGTCAGGGCCAGGACCAGCACTATGGGGACAGGGAGGAGGGGACAGGCAGAGTCAGGGGTCAGGGATCAAGAAGGACAGGGCTGAAGATTGACAGGCTCGGGCAGGTGGCACAGACGACCCTGGGTCTGGCCCAGTGGGAAATCTGGGGGAGCAGGGAGATTAGGGAAAGAGGGTGAGCTCACTGGGGACCTAGGGGGCGTGAGGGGCCCCAGGGGAGATATTTGTTTTTTCGTTTTTGTTTTTGTTTTTTTTTTTTAAAGATTTTATTTATTTATTTGAGAGAGAGAGAGAGAGCACATGAGAGGGGGGGAGGGTCAGAGGGAGAAGCAGACTCCCCGCCGAGCAGGGAGCCCGATGCAGGACTCGATCCCGGGACTCCAGGATCATGACCTGAGCCGAAGGCAGTCGCTTAACCAACTGAGCCACCCAGGCGCCCCCAGGGGAGATATTCTAATTGTCTAATTCAGCTGCAAGCCAGGAGAGAACCCTCCTGAAGTGGGCGGAGAGGACCACCTTTGCAAAGCCCCCCAGGTGTGAAAAAGCTCTGGGTGTTCCAGTAACTCTTGTGAGCAAGCCTGGGGTGGGTGTGAGTGTGGGTGTGAAAAATCTAGGCCTCAAACACCAAGCAAGGGAGCTGGGACTTCCTGCCCAGGGCAGCAGGGAGCCCGGGGAGGTGAGTGATGGAAGAAAGGAGGCAGGAGGCAGGTGGGCCCAGGAGGGAGGAAGCTGGGGAGGCCTTAGTGGGTTCTTGATGGGCCCAGAAGGTTTTTTTTTTTTTAAGATTTTATTTATTCATTTGAGACACAGAGATACAGAGAGAGAGCATGAGCAGGGAGAGAGGCAGAGGGAGAAGGAGAAGCAGGCTCCCTGCTGAGCCAGGAATCCGATGTGGGGCCCGATCCCAGAACCCTGGGATCATGACCTGGGTCAAAGGCAGATGCTTAACCATCTGAGCCACCCAGGCGCCCTGAGAGAGAGAACCTTAAGCAGGGTCCACACCCAGTGGGACGAGATCCCCCGACCCTGAGATCATGACCTGAGCCAAAATTAAGAGTCGGACGCTTGGGTGCCTGGGTGGCTCAGTTGGTTAAGCGACTGCCTTCGGCTCAGGTCCCTGGATCGACTCCCGCATCGGGCTCCCTGCTTGGTGGGGAGCCTGCTTCTCCCTCTGACCCTCCCCCCTCTCATGTGCTCTCTGTCTCTCTCATTCTCTCTGTCTCAGATAAATAAATAAAATCTTAAAAAAAAAAAAAAAACTCGGACACTTAACCGACTGAGCCACCCAGGCGTTCCCCAGGATCAGTTTCTAAGTTTAAATGATTTTTCATTTCAGCACTTGTTTTCTGTACAGGAATTTTTATTACAACTTTTTTGGAAAAGGTAACCTGTTGGGAAGTTTTCCTCGCATCCTTGCTCCTGTTCACTCTGCTTTCCTGCTCTCCTAATAAGCACACTACCAGTTTAAGTTTAAATTGGGTAAAATGTAAAACTCAGCTCCTCGGTTGCGCTGGGCGCATTTGGAGTACTCAGTATTCCCACGTGGCTGCTCTGTGGCTCTGTGGGAGAGCAGAGGTGTCATGGTTTCCATCTTTGCAGAGGTGGACAGTGATGCCCTAACACATAGCGGGCACTCATTGGAAATGGAATTGTTTTCAGTACTTAGTCTGTGCAGAGAGCTGAGCTTGGTGCTCTCCTCTCTATCCGTGGATCCCCAGACGCCCAGTGAGACAGACACATCTATCGTCTCATTTTACAGAGGACACTGAGGCCCAGCGAGACGAGTCACCTGCCAGAGGACACAGAGCTGGGACTCAGAGGAAGTCAGCTAGAGACTGGTCCCTTCCTCGAGGGCGCTGCCCTGCTCACTCTCTCCCCAGGATGGAGGCAACGCCAGTCCCCAACGCCAGCCCCAGCCCCACCTGTCCCCCTCTGTACAAAGTCCTTGTCCCCAGGAAATTGTATATAAATCACCCTTTTCTACCAGCTCGGGCCAGGCCTGTCTGTAGATGGGACGGGGTGCGGGCGGGGCATTTTGGGTGTGAGTCCTGGTTTTTCAGTGAATGCGATGTTTCATCCGGTACCGGTTTTCTGAGACCTCCCGGGGCCCAGAGCCAGTGCGCAGCAGGGCTCGGACCCAGACGGCGTCAGAACCCGCCCTGGTCGGGGCTACTGATCTATGGGGGAGAAGACACGGGACCCAGGGCGCCTCAGTTCAGCAGGACACACGTTCTAACGGCAGCAATACAGGCACTCCGGGAGCCCGGGCGGGGGTGGGGGGGTCGGATACCTGACCCAGCCTGAGATCCCGGGAGCCCGGGCGGGGGTGGGGGGGTCGGATACCTGACCCAGCCTGAGATCCCGGGAGGCGCTGGGGAGGAAAGGACTCTTGAGCCAAAAAGCCCTGGGGCTGTGACAGGCCAGATTTTTGAAGGTGGGGCTGGAGGGGAGGACATCCGAGGCAAGGGACGCAGCCGAAGCGAAGGCCTAGAAGCCATCAGGAAGTCATTCCCTCACACACTCTTGCATCTCATAGGGAAAACTACTTCCGCCTGTTTTACAGATGGGGACACTGAGGCCCAGACAGGGCCGCGGGTTCGGCCAGGTCACAAGGAGGCAGCACAGGCACCGGAATCCTTTAAGCCTAGACTGAGCGCTTGACACAGAGCCCACTTGCCCCCTGCGGGCCACCACGTGCCCTGCAGCCGGCTGTCGCTTTAGCGAGTGACGGCGCTTCCCCCCACCGCAGACACCCCGGCAACCCCGAAGAGGGAGACTAGCAGCCCCTCAAAAATATGGCGGCCCAGGCTGGCCAGCCCCGCCCCAGCAGAGCCGCTTCCTTCCCCACGTGATCTCTCGCCCCGCACAGCAATGGCTGCCTAAGAGCCGATGGGAAAGGTTGGACCCGGATTGGACAGTCAGAAGACGACCCGCCTTCCAGCGGGGCCCCTCTGCGCACGCGCAAGACACTTGGGCCAATGAAAAGACGGGAAGCTGCCCGCACAGCCCATGCGGCGTCACTTCCTCCGCCCCTGTTTCAAGGGATAAGAAACCCTGCGCCCAATCTTCCTCCTTTCCCAGGCGGCTGTCGAAGATGGCGGAGGGGCAGGTGCGGGCTCCGCGCGGGCCAGGGAGGCGTGGGGCTGGGTGGGTTGCAGGCCGGAACGAGGTTGGGCCCTCTTTCCCCTCGTAGGTGTGTTGTGAAGCCTAAACTCGATAATTGAGCAAAATGAGAAGCTTTGGGCCTAAAAGGAGTCTGCAACGGGGGAATAGGAGATAACTGGGACGGTTTTTTGGCCTGGGGCTGACAAAAACGGGGCAGGATCCCTTCCTTAGGGGCGATTATGGCGGCTCCCAGCACGGGGAGAGTTATTTTAAAATGAGGCCTCGTTTGCTTTGGTCTCGGCCGGGCTTCGGCCGAATCGGGCCTGTGTGTTCCTAGCGACGGGGAAGCGCGCGGAAAACGCCTGGGCTGCCTCGGGGCGATGGGAAACCGAGGACTGGCCAAAATGGAGGGCGCTCCCGCCGTACCCAAGGCGCGCGTCGCTTCACCCTCGTGGGAGTGCCAGTCCGTGTCCTGGAGCTCTGGCCCCTTTGGTAGGAGATCTTACGCAGCGGGGGAGCGTTCCTGCCTACAGGACATCTAGGAACGAACTGCTCTTACCTTGCTCTTCGGGGTGACGGATACTTTAAAGGCTAGAGGACTGATAAAAGGCTCCCGTAACCACCTGGGGGCCCTCGAGGGACACAGCAGAAGCTTAGCTCCGAGTCCCTGGACTTCTCCTCTAATTTCTTATATGTAAAGGAGGGGATGGCTCGGGAAAGGGTGTCCGTGTGAATAGGAAAGGAAAAAGCACGGTCGTGGAGTCAGGAAGGTGGTAGAGTTCGTGGAACACGTGTTCTCTGCATTTACTGTGTGCGTGACGCAGTTTGCTTTGTGTTCGGTGTCATTCGGTTAACTACCGTAATATTCCCGAGGCAGATACTGTTATCCTCATCTTCCAGGTGAGGAAGCTGGAGAGTTTTAGCCAAAGTCACATTGTCAGGAAGTCTGGCTTTAGATTCTGTACCCTTCTGCCTTCCAACAATCACAAGTATATAACAAGCGCTCGGTAAGAGTGGGGACTTGACTCGTGGTGAAGAAGCTGAGGATTTGGTTTTGAGCGGTTCAGCCAGGGATGCAGAGCTAAATTCAGCATAAGCCACCGCACAGGCTCCTGACGACTCTGCAGAGCCTCACCCGCTCTGAACCTGTTTCCTTTATTAATCATTTTATGCTGGAAACTTCTACCCTTGAGAGTATTTGGTCTGTTGGGATTCCACAACTTTTGTATCAGGGATTATAAATTCTAACTGGAACAATGGATAGTCTTGCCAGCCTTTGTTCAGATCCCAGCTCATCCTCTCACCCTTGAATGTAATCGGGGCTTAAGAATTCTGGCTCTTAAGGCAGTGAGATGTGAGGAAAGGCCTTTGTATTATTCCTTGCACCGAAACAGCCATTTGCTTTCTTGGCCACGTCTGTACAGTGGACCTTGGGTCTTAGTTTCCAGGCCTGCTAATGAATAGGAGGCACTCTGGGGGATACGGTGAAAGAAACGAGTAAAAAAGCATGGGTTGCTTAGGGTGGGGAGTCAAAGCTGAGGGTGTGTCTAAGCCTTTTCACTTAATTTCCACCAGGTCCTGGTGCTCGATGGCCGAGGCCATCTCCTCGGCCGCCTGGCGGCCATCGTGGCCAAACAGGTGCTTCTGGGTAAGTCTGCTCTGCCCACAGCTCCCCTGGGTGTGATTCCCAGCCAGCGGTCAGTGATGAGCAACAGTCACCATCTTTCGTTTGAGTCTCACGACCGTGAGATAACCCCATGCACCGCTCTGAGACCTTCCAGCTTCTCCCTCTCCTGGGGTCTGGGGCTCCGAGATGGAAAATCCTTTCCTGTCGGGCTGTTAATTTAAGCACAGATCCAGCTCTGCTGGGGCCTTGGCTTTCTTGTGCACTGTGGTCAGCTCCACACAGGGGAAGGAACCCTGTTTCCAATCCTCAGCAGTAACCGGGCAGGTGGGTAATGGCCAGGTTGTAGGTGGAGCCCTTGGGTGGCTTCATAGCCTTTGTCCTTGTTTGCCTCACTTTTCTTTTCCTCTAGGCCGGAAGGTTGTAGTCGTGCGCTGTGAGGGCATCAACATTTCTGGCAATTTCTACAGAAACAAGCGTAAGTTAGGATCTGGGAGAAGACTTGGAGAGGGTGGACCTGGGAGATTGGCAGCCTTCGTTGGCTCCAGAAGTGAGCCTACTAGGGGTGGGAAGTGCTCATTTGCGTTCCCTAACAGGCCCTTGCGAGTATGGATGGGTGTGTTGAAGAAGTTAGCATGTGGCTGGGGTCTGAGGCCTCGCACCCTCTCTCTCCCCAGTGAAGTACCTGGCCTTCCTCCGCAAGCGCATGAACACCAACCCATCCCGTGGTCCGTACCACTTCCGAGCACCCAGCCGCATCTTTTGGCGGACAGTGCGAGGTGAGCTGGGCCTGAGGACCGCAGGTGGATGGGTGGCCAGTGATGAGGACTTCTCCCACGTGTGTTCGAGTTCCCCGACCATGAGATGACTCCACATGCACTACCATCTGAGGCCGCCGGTGTGCCTGGGGGGGGGTGCGGGGTCCCCGTGAGCCCCGCGGAGCAAGCCTGCTGTCCCTCCACCCACAGGCATGCTGCCGCACAAGACCAAGCGAGGCCAGGCTGCCCTGGACCGGCTCAAGGTGTTCGATGGGATCCCGCCGCCCTACGACAAGGTGAGCTCGAGGGCCGGCTGCGCAGCGTTTGTGTCTGGCGTCCGTGATGTTGCAGTTGTACCTACATTGTTTGACCCTCGTGAGAACAGCACTGGCTGAGACGCTGTTCCAGCCAGCCTTCTTCCCCGCTGTCCCTTACTCCAGGGCTCCTAAGCCCCTCTCCTTCTCTAACAGAAAAAGCGGATGGTGGTTCCTGCTGCCCTCAAGGTGGTGCGCCTGAAGCCTACTCGGAAGGTAAGTTGCGGTTTCACTGAGTCGTCTCGCTAGGGGGCGAGCTTGAGGCCCGAGACTGGCACGTGATGGTTCTTTCTCACGATGGTCTGCGGATGCCGCTGTGGGCAGTGCCGAAAATGCCATTGGCCTAGCTGATGCCAGCACGAGCAGGGAGCCCCCAGGGCGGCTGTGTCTTTAACTTAGGCCTGCTGGGGAAAGTTGGGTCACCCAGGACAGCTTGTCCGCTCCCTGTCCCACAGCCACCCTGACTCTGCTTGCTCTTTGGACTTCTTTCTTGTCCCTCCCCCACAGTTTGCTTACCTGGGGCGCCTGGCTCATGAGGTTGGTTGGAAGTACCAGGCAGTAACAGCCACCCTGGAGGAGAAGAGAAAGGAGAAGGCCAAAATCCATTACCGGAAGAAGAAGCAGCTCCTGGTGAGGATGGCCTGGAACCCAAGGGCACCACACTCCTGGGCAAGGGCCTTGTGGGTGAACTCTGGACGCAGTGGTCTTCGGTTGGCCCCGGAGGCCTCTACTCGAGGCCCACCTTGGGACGGGGAGTAGAATTGGGTTCCTGGGATGATGAAGGCTCTGGGTAGCAGCCATTGACCACCATCTGTCCTCTTCACCCCACAGAGGCTACGGAAACAGGCTGAAAAGAACGTGGAGAAGAAAATCGATAAATACACAGAGGTCCTCAAGACCCATGGACTCCTGGTCTGAGCCCAATAAAATTGACTGTTTATTCCTCATGCTTGGCCTGGCCTGCCCTTCCTCCATCGCCGCCCTAGGATATGGGGGACCCCCAGGGGCCGCTGTCTGGAGCCACAGGCAGCCGGGACTTAAAATGTTGGGAACACAGAAAGGGCTTTAGTCACTGCTGTTAATTAAGAAAGGCCTTCTTAAAAGGCTAAACTCCAAGAGCTTTGAGGCATAATTGCCTGTGACCGACTCATCTCTGAGAGGTCTAAGAAACTGATAGTTGGAGCA